ATATATATATATATACATATATATATATATATATATATATATATATATATATATATATATATATATATATATATATTTATATATATATATATGTATATATATATATATATATATATATACATATATATATATATATATATATATATATATATATATATATATATATATATATATATATATATATATATATATATATATATATATATATATATATATATATATATATATATATATATATATATATATATATATATATATATATATATATATATATATATTTCAGCACATACTTTACTAAAGCCAACATATTATATACCAATTAAAAGGTTTTCAAATTTACAATTAGGTTTTGAACAAATAATTATTATCTAAATAATATTTTTAAATTGGTATACAAATCAACGGTCTTTGATAAGTTCAAAAATTTGCGGACGAAGCATTATTATTTAAAATAGTTAAAATATTTCAACAATATTTGATCAAAATTTTTTCAAAAGCAAAATCACATTAGTATTTTGTAGTATATCCTTTACAATCAAGAATAGCTTGGCATCTATGATTCAAACGTCAATGGGAATTAAGTCCCATAATTCTTTGATTTTATTAAATAAATCAGCATAATTTGTAGGCTTAATTCCTTTCATTTGACGGTCAACATGTTCCCATAGATGTTCAATGAGATTTAAGTCAGGTGATCGGGATGGCCACTTCAAAACATTAACTTTACTCTCTTTAAAAAACTCTAAAACCGATTTAGCTGTATGTTTGGGATTGTTATCCTGTTGGTAAATCCATTCTCGAGGCATTTTATCCATTGCATATGGTAACATAATAGTCTTACATATATCTTTGTACTTTTCTTGATTCATATTCTCGGTAATTCTATGGAGAGGACCAACTCCATTTCGGCTAAAACATCCCCAAACCATTACATTACCTCCTCCATGTTTTACGGTAGGCAGTTAGTATTTAGGATTGTACCTAGTACCTACTGGACGTCGAACATACCTGATTCCATGGGATCCAAACAGCATAAATTTGCTTTCGTCACTAAAAAGAATTTTTGACCATTTTTGACTACTCCACTTCAGACGTTTTGATGCAAATTCCATTCGGGCATTACGGTTTTTCAAGGAAACTAATGGCTTTTTAGTTAGGCGTCTTCCAAACAAATTAGCGTGACGTAAACGACGTTTTATAGTAGAAATACTACAATTCATTTCATAGAAACGTCTCATCCTGATAACACGTTGTTTTGCGTGGCCTTCCTGATTGATTTTTATTCTTTGTAGATCTAGTAAGCTCAAATCTCTTCATAATTTGTCCAACAGCAGACTTACCAACTCCATAAAGCTGTGCTGTTTTACGAAACGAGTTTCCATTCTGAACTGATCTCAAGATCAATTTTTTTACTGGAGATGAAATACATTTCTTAGATCCCATGATCTCAATCACTTATATATAAAGTTTTGAAATTATTTCCACAAAGTATTTGTTTATAAAATCAACAAATTAGCTATTTTGTGGTGAAAATGTTAAAAGCGTTAGTTTGTCCCCAAACTTTTGAACTTATCAGAAATCGCAATTTTGTTAACCAATTTTAAAATGATAATTAAATATTCATTATTTGCTCAAAACATAATTGTAAACATAATTGTAAACTTAAATATATATATATATATATATATATAATATATATATATATATATATATATATATATATATATATATAGATATATATATATATATATTATATATATATATATATATATTGCTACAGCATTTGGCTCTCAGTGGCTGGTGAACTTTAACTCAGACAAAACTCATTTTTTTTAAGCCAATCCTTATTGCAACTATATTTATGGACAGTAATGTACTTGATGAGACATCTACCTTTTTTCTTTCAGTATTAATTCTAACTTCCAATCTTTCTTGGAAACCATAAATCAAATCAATTTAAAGCTTAGCATCTGCCAAGGTTGCATCTCTTTATTGTGTTCGCCACTTTCTTACTCCTGATTTCATTCTTCATCTCCATAAACTTCAAATCTATCTTTGTACTGTTGCTGTATCTGGAGCAGATCTTGGAATAATGCCCTTTTCCTTTTAGATAAGGTTCAAAAACTGATTGTAGTCATAGGTGGACCTGTACTTACCAACCTTTAACAATTGTCACATCGTCATAATGTTGCTTCTCTTTCTCTTTTCTATAATTACTATAATGGGTGCTGCTCTTGTGTCATCTACTAAAAGTAATTTTTGGGTTACTCATAATCAATTAATCTCATCTTTTTACTATGACTGTTCCTGAGTGCTCCAAAAATTCTTATTTGTCTAGTTTTTTTTGTTCATCATCAGTTCTATGAAATTTGCTCCTATCTTGTTTTCCTGTATTATATAATTTGTAATCTTTTAAATTATCTGTTAATTGTTATCTTGCTTTATGAACTTCATCTTTTCTTTTCTATATATATATATATACATATATATATATATATATATATATATATATATATATATATATATATATATATATATTATATATATATATATATATATATATATATATATATATATATATATATATATATAGTATCTACAATATATAGTATCTACAATAGGCTAGGAACTTCCAACTTTAATATTGGTTATTTGCACCCTTTTTGTAAGTGAAGATGTTATCCCTATTTTCAAAAATTCTGAAGAGCAATCTGACTCGTTTAACTACCATCCCATTAGTCTTCTTACTATGATAAACAAGGTTTTTGGGTCTTTGATTAAAAAACATTTAATCTCTCATCTTGAATCTAATAATTTACTTTCTGATCATCAATAAGGATTTTGATTTTCTTGTTCTATTGCTAATTTGTTAATGGTAATTACCATTAGGTTTTATTGTGTATTAGATAGATATGGAGCGGTTAAGAATATCGCTCTTGACATTTCTAAAGCATTAATATGGTAAATTTTAAATGTTATCTTGCTTTATAAACTTCATCATTTTCTCTTCTCGTAATATCCAATTCTAGTAGCTGATTGCAGCCTTTGTTGGAAATGGAAAAAAATAAAAAATTATAAAATTATATATATATATATAATATATATATATATATATATATATATATTATATATATATATATATATATATATATATATATATATATATATATATATAATATATATATATATATATATATATATATATATATATATATATATATATAAATGTATTATATATAAAAACAATACATATTATGTATACATAATATGTATTATTGGAAAATAACAGCAGGATGCCACTCAAAATCCAAGTTTTTGATTGCTATCTGTCCTGTGAGAATCTATCAAAGGGAAATAAGAATGCATAAGAAAGACGTATGATAAATATGTAAAACAAAGAAAATATAATCCATTGAATAAAGTTTTTTGACATCACATAAAAAGAAAGTGAATGGCTCTGCAGTGACGATAAAACATTTCATATATCATCTTCAGATTAAATGCAAAGAACAGTTTGGGTATACAACTGAAAAGGCTGCTAGTTCAAAAACTATTCATCCGTGCAAAAGAAGAAAAATGACCTTTAAGTTTACTTCAACATTTTAGATCAACATTTAAAGAAGCTGTTAAACTTAAAAAGGAAAGGAAGAAATGCTACATTTTGAGCTGGTCACTGTACTTAGATGGTAAATGTATCAGTCACTAAAAATATCAAGTCTTAGTGTTGGAGAATCAAGTCTGTTGAAAAATAAACAGAGAGTTAAGTTACAAGCACTAGATCTACTAGATGGAAAAATGGTTAAAGGTTGTAAAGCGGTTGTTTTTAAAGCTTGATTAATACAATTTATAATTTAGAAGTATAATATGATTGTAGCCAAAACTCCAAATGTAAACACTGGAAGAAGGAATGGGATTGTCAGTCAGTTACTAACCTTATATATGAATAAACAGAAATTAAAGAAAATTACTTGTAGCCAATTTCTATTTTTTTCTACAAAGTATTTGAAAATGAAGATTATTTAAAGACATTTCCACTTCAATTTCAATTTAAAGACATTTCCACTTCAATTTCAAGTTAAAGATATTTCCACTTCAATTTCAATTTAAAGACATTTACACTTTAATTTCAAGTTAAAGATATTTCCACTTCAATTTCAATTTAAAGACATTTCCTCTTCAAAGACGATTTCACTATTAAGAAACTTATATTTGATTTCAAATTTTTTATAATTTTTTCATTATCCATTTTAAATCAATGAAAAATGTATTTCATAAAGCAATTATAAATTAACCAAACAAAACTCATACTGAAATAATCTGAATATTGTTTGTTGTATAGTTTTTCTTATTTCACATTTCTTTTTTTTTTTATATAATTTATCAAAATAAATTATAATAAAAAAAGTTTGTTGTTTAACTTTTTTAAAACAATGAAAAAAATATAACCCCTGGTGGTGACTGATATTAAAATGTTCTGAAAAAAATCTGTATCTACATGCTATTGATTTTATATTATTATTAAGTTTTCCATTATATACCACTATTATATACCACTATATATTATATATTATTATTATATACAACTTTTGAATTTGAAGCCAACTTTTTAAACATGTTTTGTATAAATTAAACTAATTCTAACTTAAATTAAAAATTAAAGTTGTTACATTTAATAAAAAATTTTTCAATTTAAATTAAATTTTTAGGGTGACATTGGTGATATTGGATTTCCTGGTGAAAACGGAATAAAAGGAGAAAAAGTGAGACAGAGTTTTTTATTTATTTATACTGTATAAAATTATTTAAATGAAAAGTTCCATTGCAAATTAACAGCAATAAACAAATTTTATTTTGCAATATTCAAAAAAATTATTATGAGGGTATTACTTTATAAGGGTGTCATTTTAAAAAAGGGTGTCATTTTATAAGAGTGTCATTTTATAAGGGTGATATTGGAGCTAATGGAGTTCAAGGAGATCCAGGAGCAATGGTAAAATTTTTTTTATTTGTTTCTAATATTTGATTCTTTATTTAAATATAGTTAGCATGTATATAAAATATATTTTCGATAAGTGTAAAATGTATGTTGCATGGGTATAAAATATATTTAACATGGATGTGAAATATATTTACACATAAAATGCTTGATGAACTAAATCAAGGCTATAAGTATATTTATTGAAAATAAAACAACTTTTTTTTTTACTTCTATGTTATTCATAACATAGGTCAACAAAAAATTTTTTTTTTTGTGTTGCCGAGCAAACAATTTGTTTTTTTGATAGCATTTCTCATTTTGATTTTAAATATGCAACTCATTTTTCACCATCACGCCAAGTTGTAAAGATATTTGGGTTCAAATCTTTAGTATATGGCGTAAAGTTCCTAATATTGTTGAAAAAAAAGTTATTCAAAAGTATGTCAAACTGGGTCTCAAAAGAAGCGTATTTTTGTAGAGATTTTAGAAAATATATTTATTTATGTTAAAATTATGTAAAAAAAATTTATGTTAAAAAATGCTCTTTAAAAATTGTAATAAAATATTTTTTAGCAATAATACAAAAAGTAAATTTTTATTAAAAACAAATAACTTTTTTGAAATCTCTATGAAAATACGCTTTATTTGAGACCCAGGTTGACATACTTTTAAATAACTTTTTTTTCAACAATATTAAGGATTTTCCCCTAAATACTAAAGATTTGAACCCAAATATCTTTACAACTTGACATGATGGTGAAAAATAAGTTGTATGTTTGAAATCAAAATGAGAAATGCTATAAAAAAACTAATTGTTTGTTTGGGAACAGAAAAAAAAAATTTTTTGTTGACCTGTGTAATCATCAGGTGCTTTTTTTAATGAGGTTTATAAGAGCTTTTTTTATTGAAATTAATTATAGACAAAAAAAAATGTTATGTAAGACTTGTCATTAGCTTAGTTTTTTTATATAAATACTTTTTGCATGAAAAACTTATTTCACTCAATATAAAAAACCAAAAATGCTGTTAAATAAAAAATTCAAACTAATTTCTAAATTTCCTAATCTTCTTTTTAAGGCATTTCATTTATTGCTTAGCAAACACGATTAAACATTATTGTTTGTTAAGTATTTTATTTATTGTTAATTGTAAATTTTATTGTAAACAAGTTATCTTATTATAGCTACTTTTTTAAAATAACAGTTTATCACTGTTATTTTACAACAAATAAAATATCTCATTATATATATATATATATATATATATATATATATATATATATATATATATATATATATATATATATATGTATATATATATACATATATATATATATATGTATACAAATATATATATATATATATATATATATATATATATACATGCATATATAGTAATACAGATATATATATATATATATATATATATATATATATATATATATATATATATATATATATATATATATATATATATATATATATATATATATATATATATATATATATATATTTATACAAATATATGAAGTTTGCATTTCATTAATTATTCACAAATTTTATATGGTTATAGGGAGAACAAGGTGAAAAGGGAAATCAAGGAAAACCCGGAATGGATGGTAGAGAGGTAAAGTAATGATATCAAATTCTGTTTATCATTTTCTTTAAATACAAAAAAATATGTTTTAATAAAAAATTCACCTAATAAAAAGAGTTATAAAAGTATAAAACCAAGTAGTTGTTAATAGCTCTTTACAAAATAATTTTTGTTTATAATCAGACTAAAATATTTTTTTTCATAGGGACAAAAAGGTGAAGAAGGACAGCCAGGAGAGAAGGGAATAAAGGTATTTTTTTTCAATACTCAATAGCAAAAACAGTAATCTTTGACCCTAAACTTATTAGTATGCTTGTTTATACATTGTTACAAGGGATCTATTGTTTATACAAGGGATCTATTGGTTTTCAAGGAATACCAGGAGAGATTGGTGTGCCAGGAGATGATGTATGTTTCTTTTTAACTTGTTTTTTTTTTATTTAAAGTTCCTTTTTGAAAATTTTTAATATTTATTAGTATTTGTTTGATATAGGGACCACCTGGACCAATGGGACCAGTAGGATTATCTGGACCAAAAGGAGACGTTGTAAATATTTAAATTGATTTTAGTTGTTTTATAAATAGATTAAAATAATTTTATTATTAATTTTTTTTTTGTTTTGTTTTCAATATTTTAAAACTTTTTATTTTTTGATTAGGGATCAACTGGTGATCCTGGTCTTCCAGGACCTCCTGGAGCAACTGGAGTTAAGGTACCTCCTTTCATATCTACTTACATACCTATCTAACTATCTACCTACCTACCTAACTACCTTACTATCTATCTAACTATATCTTTCTATATAAAATGCTTTTAACACATTTTTTCAATTTTTTTTCTTTATAAAAATTATGCGTTTCAAGATTTTGTTTATAAACTTTCATTGTGCAATATTTTAGTGAAATTTTTTCTTTGTAAGCAAGAAGTACCTAGCTTGATCCCTACTACTTCTCTGGTAGTATATGTGCTCAACTTTAGTCTAAAAAACATAAGTCTAAAATATAAAAGTTTTCAGGAAAGCAATTAAAATAAGTGCTATTTTAATGTACTCTTGTGACTTTAAGGTATATTATCTTTTTCTTACAATATAATTATCTTTGATTTACATATATGATGTTTTTTATCAAAAAATTGACATTTACCATCATAAACACAATCTTAATCAATTTATAAATTCAACTTTTAAGTACGCTATTCATTTTCCAAGATGCTTGACTTATGTTTAATAAAATTGACTAATTACCTAAGTGCCAAAGAAAATAAAAAGTGCTTTTTTGACTAAAGTTGCTAACCCTAACCCTGACTCATCTTTATGGAGGTGAAATAGAAAATAAAATTCTCTTGGTTTGAATACTTATATCATTCAATAAATTATTTTGATTGATTCTTATATATCTAATTTTCTTAAAGAATATTTAATACAATATCCAATATATTAACAAACATCTCAGAAAAAATTTAAATAATTTTAACTTTTATTCAATTGTGATTTTATTAAATTCAAATTTAAAGAGTTTTCCCTATTTGGGAGATTCTTCTATAATTTTTCTTTTTTCTTTTTCTGTTTATGAGGCTTTTCAAAAATGTTGATTCCAAAAAAAGAGTTAATTCCATATTTTCAAATTTAATGAAGTTATTTTTTGTTAAGTATGTTGAATAAGTTTTCAGTGTAGCTGGAGCTTCAACATTCAAAGCTGTAAGCTCTATTACAATTTTTGTATAAGCTTTTTTTTGTAAGAAAAAAACAAGTTACACTATAGATAATTTTTATTGGCTGCTTTTTTAATTGTCACATCTTGCATTGTTTCAAAACTTCTTTTATAAAGAAAATTATGTAACCTTTATAGTTATAAAAGTTATACAATACCATACAAACACCCATAACACTATGCGTCGCTCTTAGTGAGGTGAAATGATGAAATAGGCTTATGAATAAGGAAGCATTCAATATGTTGAGCTGGTTTTTTTCACCAGACATCAAATTTTTGTTTATATTTCTATATTTATAAGAAAAGTATCCGGTTTTTATAAAAAAACAGTTTACTGTATTTTTTCAGTTTATCTGGACTAAATTCTGACTAATCTGAAAGATTATATATGTCGGAATGTTTTTATTCAAAAAACAGTAGGCGCCAATATTTTATAGAATTTTACAAACATTTTTAGAAATTTGTAAACAATATCATTAAATATAATTTTATTAAACTTATAAAAAAAATTTTGTTTATAATTTTAATAAGTTTGATAAATTAATGAGTTACTAAGATTATTTATTTTATACACAAAAACTTATTATTTTAACTAATATGCATAAACATATTTGTTCATTATCTCAAAATGATAATTTCGGATTTAATGCATTTCCCTTGAATACTGAAGATATATATATATATATATATATATATATATATATATATATATATATATATATATATATATATATATATATATATATATATATATATATATATATATATATATATATATATATATATATATATATATATATATATATTAAACTTTAATGTATTATATTATAATTTAATATTCATCCCTTTTTTAACAATAATAATAACAACAAACATATTATACTCACAAGAGATATTTACTTTGTTGATTTTTGATGCTTTATATTGAATTAGAAACAATGTTTTTCTTTTTCCACAAATTTTTATTAAATGAAAAGACAGAATTTAAAAAATGTTAAAATTCACTGTGTAGCCAGCATAAAGTGATAAATACATGGACTGCAAGTAAAGCACACACAAATATATTTTTACAAGTGAAAATATGCCTTGAAAATGCCATGGAGGAAAATCATCAAACAAAAGTTTGGTGAGATTAAAAGTAATCATATTAAAACACACTTAAATTAGAAGTTATAATTCAAAGACTAGGAACAAATGTAACGCTCCGCATCTAGTGTTGTTTTTTATACTTATTAACTAACCCATTTTTAATATAACTCACTACAATGAATTGATAATATACCATGTTACTACAGAGGTAGCCAGAATATTATTTCGCTTCTAAAAAGTCTATCGTAGAAAATTTATAATAAATTAAAAACTGGCTACCTCATAGTAACATGGTCTAATCAATCAATCTTTACGGATACACAAAAACAATCATCCAAACATTATTTTTTCTTTTTTTGGTTTTTAATTTACAAAATGTATCATTGATTTGATAATATGCTAAAAAATTGAGGAAATTTTGAAATTATTGTTTGTAACATCAAGATTTAGTGAAAAACCGTGTTTTTTTACCCTTGAAAATTCAGCGTTTAAAGGCAAATTTTTTTAAATTTGCCTCTTTAAATGCTGAATCTTTAAGGGTAAAAAAACATGGTTTTTCACTAAATCTTGAGTTAGCATTATAATGCTAAAGCATTATAATGATAACTTGTTTCAGTTAAAAAATATTCAAAATTTTATTATTTAAATTTTTTATCAGAAAAGTAATTAAAGTCCTATTTCCGCTTCGCAACGCATTGTGCATAACAACAACAAAATTATATTTACAAATATACTATACAAATGTAATTGTAATTATGTTATTATTATTCTAGTATAATATAATATAATATAATTCCAAAACCAAATCCACTTTATAAACTATTTAATAGTAATGCAAAAAAAGTCAGCTCTAGCTGCACAAGCAACATAGCAAAAATTATAAAAAACCACAACAATAAAATTATTTTGATGAACCCAACGGCCACTTTTGCTTGCAATTGTAAACTAAACAAAATCTGTCCTATGAACGGAAATTGCAGAAAAACAAATGTAATTTATAAGTGCATTGCATCATTCCTAAACACACCTAACAAAACATATATTCGTTCAACAAAGAGCATGTAGAAAATTAGATGAGTGAATCACAAGCAATCTTTCAAAAACAAAAAACTCACAAATGCAACCATGCTTTCAAAATATCTATGGGATACACAAAATAAATCAAAAACAACACCCAATTTAAAATGGTCCATCATAAAAAACGCCCCTGCCTACAAAAACAATACCAAAAATGCTTTATATGCTTTTACAAAAAACTATTACTTTTATTGTATAAAAATTCTAAAGAATTATTAAACAAAAAAAACGAACTAATATCCAAATGTCGCCATGAGATCAAGTTTTTGCTGGACAACCACAAACCAAAAGATTTTTCTTTTGTACAGAATTATTATTTTTTTAGAAGAAAAAGGCATTTATACCTGATGATTGCATTTAGCATGAAACTTATAGTAGTGAAAAATATGTTGTTTTCTTTATAACATATATGTATATATATATATATATATATATATATATATATATATATATATATATATATATATATATATATATATATATATATATATATATATATATATATATATATATATATATATATATATATATATATATATAAATATGCTTATATTAAAATATTGTTAACATGAGTTATGAATAATCGTGAAAAATTATGAAAAATAGGGAGAGACTGGGGAAAAAGGTCTTAAAGGCGAACCTGGATTAGTTGGAAAGCAGGTAAATTTACTTTCTATATTTTCTATATTTCTATAATATGAAGTTTAGTTTTATAAATGGTTTTAATTTATTTTAATTTGCATTTTATTTTTTTTTAAAGGGAAAACCTGGTGATCATGGCTTACCTGGCTCACCTGGTAAACCTGGAGTTAAGGTAACTTGTTGTTACCATCTTAATCTTTATAGTTGACAACTTTTAATTGACTTTTATATTCAAGCATTATATTTTATGTTATGTTTATAAGTATTATTAATTCAATTATTATTAAACATAAATTTAAAAAAATCAAAATGTATAACATCTATAACAACATCCCTATAAATTATAACTTATTAATTCTTTTCTGATTTAATAGGGTGATCAAGGTTATGGTAAAAAAGGAGAACTTGGTGCGAAGGTAAGAATATCTTATGACAGAATTTAAATATACATCTAAAAAAATCTAAAAATCTAAAAACTACTTTTTTATCAAGGGAGATAAAGGTAACCAAGGAACAAAAGGTGAAACTGGGAAACAAGTACGTCTTTATTTTTTCAGTATTGTTATAATAAAAAGAAAATAAAAAACAGTATTTATAAAATATTTATTATTACAAATTGGCACTAAAAATATATTAAACAATTAAGTTATTAAATTATATTTTCTTTTTAAATTTTAGGGTGTACCTGGTTTGAAAGGAGATGATGGACCCATTGGACCAGAAGGACCAATTGTAAGAATATTTTTGATAAATCTATATTTTAATACATTTAGTTCTTGTTGGGTTAAATTAATAAATTTTCTAAAAAATATTTTATAGTTTTAAAGTTGTATGCTTATGTGTTCTTTCAGTCATAGGTTAAAAAAATTAATATTACTTATAAAAATAACAGAAGAAAAAATAAAAATTATTTGCAGAAGTAATAGATAAAAAAATATTTGTGGAAATAACAGAGCAAATAAATTTATGGAAAAAAAAAGGAAAAAAAGTTTTTTTATTTTGAAAAGATCAGTAAATTTAGTCATAATGTCTTATGACTCTAAAAGTACACTATCAACGTCAATTTTCGGCTTATAGTAGTTGGCTCATCAATCATTAGCAAAATTATAATATTTGATTTTATGACTTCTATAATAAATTTTTTCCTCATTCCGTTACCTATATGACTGTCTCTATTAATGCATTTGTAGAATGAAGAATACAACACATTTTAACTCTGATACTTTCTTGTTCATCAATTTCTATTTCAAAGTTATTAAAGGACTAATTTACTTACGAAAGTTTATATGCAGTTTGAAAAATGTTTGCATTTTGCAATCTATAATTTTCTCTAGTATTAAAGACTTGAATATTGTTTGCAAAAGTCTCTTTGTTAGCATCTTTTACATAGATTTACATAGATTATCTTTTATATAGATTGATATCCAGCAGATTCTTTATGATCATTTTTTTTTTTGTAGAGAACATAGCTGTTGCTTTCTATTTTTGCCATTCTTTAGATATTTTCATTTCCATCTCAGGTTTTATGCCAATTCAAGCTTTCAAGCTTTTTTTGTCGAAAGCAATCACTCTTTCAAAACAAAAATCTGTTTTTTGCCCCTATGTCCACTTACTTGACTAGTTGTAATTGGTGTAATTGTCTGCTGAAGTTAAATCTAACGTTGTTTTATTTTGATTTCTTCTGTTTCTTTTGCACTTGATTGATTTTTTTTGTTAACCAAAGATTCAGCCGAGAAGATATAGGTAATTTTTTTTCATATTTAGTTTTGCGTTAATTAATATTTTTATGTCACTCTTATTAATAATTTATTATTGATTATAACTTTTGATTATTATTGATTAATTTATTAATTTGTTAATAAAATAAATTAATTGATTAATTTATTAAAACTTTGCATTTAACATAACATTGCCACTACAAAACTTTGTATTTAACATAACATTGCCACTACAAAACTTTGTATTTAACATACCATTGTCATTACAAAAATTAATAATTTTGTTCAAAGATTTTATTACTTGTGATTATTTCAAAGAAAAAAAAAATAAAACAATACGTAAAAAGCATTTAGAGTACACTAAGTTTTAAAATGAACACACTACGATGCATTATATTATTTTACTAAACACAAAAAGAAGCTGACTTTTTTATTAGACTGTTTAAAAATATTTCAAAGTGCGGCTCTAAAAAGCTTTTTTTTACGATTTAAAATGAGAATGTATCAAATAAAATGTAAACATTACATTCACATTTTAAATTATGTTTTTTTTCATTTCCAAATAAGATTCAAAATTACAGTTTCTTCCAATACAAAATGCTAGCGTATCATTTTTTGAAACATTTTTGAATCAGGTGAATAGGACACGAGTCCAAAATTGTATATTTTTTTTAACCAGTTAATTTTAGTTACTTTTTTTTAGAAAAGTTCAAAAAACAATTAAGGTTTTGCTATTTTTATGTGTTTGGTCTTCTACTTTTATTTTTAAAATTTTTATGATGTTGAAAAACATTAAAAATAAAAAATTTTGCTGCGTAGTCTTTGTGTATAAAGTTATGGAATATTAATAATGATAAATATTAATAATGATAAATATTAATAATGATAAATTTGAAGTAAAATGAATAAGAGTTTTATCTAGTGTAAAAATTTTTCTTCATTTTGCTTGAAAATACCTGGCTATTAATTTTGTAAACTAATTTTAGATACTGATTAAATTGAAAAATATTGCAACAATAAGTAACAAACTAGTTTTAAATCAAAATTAATAATAATATAGAAAGTAGTTTAAAAATTTTATCATTCAAAGTTACCTTTACTCAGAGTTGTTGTTGTTCGGACAACTCGGACACTACTTTATGTTTAATGAAATAATTTTTTAGAAGTTTTCATTAAGCAAGATTGCTACTCAGTTGAAGCAGTTCGTAAACATTAAAGAACTTGGATGATTGTATCATTCTTGCAAAGATAGTTTTTCAAAGTATGTCTTTTTTTCAACAGAAAAGAAGAAAATATTATGGGTTCGGAAAAAGATACAATGATGGAATAACTGATGAGTTTTTGGAGTTGATAAAATAATCACAAATAACATTGAACTTTAGCATTAGTGTGGCACTCATTAAAATCTGCTTCAGAAATACCATCAGTTTCAACAATTCCTCATGGTAATATACTAAAATATCTAAACCATTTGAGAAATAAAGATAAAGGTAATTTAGAAATATATTGGGCAATGTGTGCTATTGTTAATATAAAATACAGTCAAAACCAATGACAGATACAATTGAGGTATAGCAGGTTAAAAAAAATGACAGAAGCTCACATCAGGTGTCCAAGGGAAATTTTAGCTTTATTTTAGAAATTTTATTTTAGCATGTTTAAAATTACAGTGGCCTATTTACTTGTGAGCCGGATGTCAATAAATATATTGAAAAAGAGAAAGGTCTGTTAAATGTCTAAAATGATTGAAGAATGAGATTATTTACTTTAGGGATACAAATAAACCATTTCTGTGAAATCCACTCTATTTAAAATTCTAATTATTGAAAAAATACAAAAAAAAAAATGCTATCTTATTTCTACAAAAGAATAAGCAAATAATTTAAATTTTCTATTTTGTAAGTCCTCACAACTATCCACAATCACCACAATTAATTTTTTTTCAGTTGTTAAGGTGCTCTAAGAAGAACTAAATGTCTTATAAAAAAAACAGTGGAAGAGCAATTTAAATAAGAAGTCCATGCCTCCCTTCTTAACAATGTTGCTTATCCGGCTAGAGCCAACATCGAACATCAGACCTCTTGATTCTGAACAAGAACTACAATTACTGCACCATAACAATAAATTTCACGTTTTGACCAGTATCATTACAAATCATTCTTTAAATAATTTCATGAACAACCTTACTTTTTGTTGTATTTATGACATATAATGTCGCATAACTATTACATATTTTATTGATAAAATGAAAAGAAAAATATTTTCTATAGATTTTACTTCAATAATAAAAATAATTTATTTAATTTAATAATTGATTGTTTTGTCAAAATAGTTACTTTTATTGAAATTAAAGTGGAAGACTAAATATTTATAATGAAAAAAAAGTATTAAGTAATTACTCTCCTCCCCCCCCCTCCCCCACCTTCATCCTTACTTTATGAATAGGCATGTGAAACATCAATAACATTGAAACTTGGTTTTCATTAGTAAAATAAATTCTTATTCAAACTTGGTCAATTAAAATTAACATAACAAAAAACATTAATAATGATGTGGAAACTTTTTCTTGAAAAAAAGAGGTAAATTAAATTACATTAAAAACCTAATGTTTTAAACATTTAACTAATTTAATTATGATTGAAAATTTAAACATTTAATTTAATTTTGATTGAAAATTGAACAAGAATAATTATTTTTATAAACAAAATGATTATTTTTATAAAATTCTTTCTTTTTATAAAAAGTTATTTAAAAATTTGTTTAAAAATGTAAAAAAAAGATTATTTTTTCTATACAATTTTATTTATTAAAAAATTTTTAAACTTTTGTATTGTTTTAGGGACCTAAAGGAGCACCTGGAAAACCTGGGCTGTCTGGTGATGTAGGGATTCAAGTGGGTCATGAAATTTAGTTTTTTTATATGTAGAGAAAAGTTTAAAAATTTTAAAATTGAAATAAATTATTTTAGGGTATTCAAGGACCTCCTGGAGCTCCAGGGTTACCTGGAATTAAAGGAGACAGAGTATGAATGATTTTTTGTAATTGTATTAATTATAAATTATGAGTAAGCTTTTGTAGTTGTGATATTAACATAAGCATGTTATATGATGTTATATAACTGAAATTATTTTTTTAAGGGAGTTCCTGGCCAACCTGGAGAAGTAGGAGATAAAGGAAACAAAGGAGCAATGGTAATAAATACAAAAAAAAATATTTATTTAAATGCTTATTGTTTTTTTTTTGTTTTGATTTGATTCTTACCCAATTTTGTTTCTTACCTTATTAATTGAATGAAATTGTTTTTTGTTGATGCTCTAAATTTAGGGAGTCATGGGTCTACCAGGTTCTGATGGTCCTATAGGTGTTGATGGTGAAAAGGTTTCTTAATTAAAAAATTTATTTATGAATAATTAATAATATATTTTATAGTTTTATAACTTCAATTAGAATCAACTGAGTAACAATTTGTTTAAACAATTAAAATCTTTTTCTGAATTTTTTTTCTATTGTTAGGGAGATAATGGTTTACCAGGAACTCCTGGTAAGGATGGAGAGCAAGGCGAACAGGTATTTTATTTTTTTACTTTGTATTTTAAAAAATAATGAGTGGCATTTTCATAGAAATCTGATTTTTTTATTTTTTTATTAAGGGAGAACCTGGCCTTATAGGATCTATTGGTCAAAGAGGCTTCCCTGGTGCTGCAGTATGTTTGTCCATTTAAATTTTCTGTAGTATTTTGTCCATTTAATATTATTTTATAAGTTAAGAAACTTAATATCATGGCTGTCTCTTTTTTCTTATTTCTTTTTTTATTCCAGTCTTATATTTTTTTAAAAAATCTTAGGGACCTCCAGGATCTAATGGATTACCTGGAGAGCAAGGCTTACCTGGCAATAATGTAAATATAGTTTTATTGTTCAATAAATATATGAAATATTATTGTTATTATTATTACTGTTATTATCATTAATATTTTTATTGTTATTATTCTTATTATTGTATTTAAAGAATAATTTCATTAAAAAGTAAAAAAAAAATTGTTTTTCAATTAATTTTAAAATGGTTTTATTAGGGGTTGCCTGGTAAAGATGGAATTCCTGGCCAACCTGGAAAACAAGGCGACAAAGTAAGAAAGTTTTATTTTTTTATTTAAATTAAACTGTCGTTTTCAAACATTTTTATAGTAATATTATGAATTGTATTAATAATATATTATATACTGTTTTCTAAAATGTTTCTAAACCTCTGTCTGTTACTACTGTTATTAGAAAAGAACCCCTATATAACTAATGTAAAATATTTTTTTTAAACCATATGGTATACATTTTATAAATTTTTAATAAATATTTATTTAATCATATGAAACACAAATGAAACACAAATGAATTATGAAATACAAATGAAACATAATTTGAATTATGAAACACAAATTTAACCATATTAAACACATATTGAAAATGAAACACAAATGAAACACAAAAATTTTCATGAAGGCAAAAAGACAAGGTTCAGTTTGAATTTGTTAAAAGTTAGGAAGTACTTGTTAAAAGTAAGGAACTTCTTAAAAATAAGGAGTCGGAAAACACTGACTGATGTGTGTGTTGTATCGACTACAAGCTTTAGAAAAGTTCAAGTAAGAAGCAGGAATGTATCAATGTCTGTTCTGTTTTTTTGGGATCACAGGAAGAGTGTGGTCATATGATTTAGGAAATAAATTAGATAAATAGTTCTTTGCAAATACTTCTGCCTTAACATCGATAGAGGTAATAAAATTAGACACGTGTATCAGAGAGAGATTATTAGACTTGCTTTGGTTATTGATGTTGTCAAAGGTTTTTCGAAAGACTTTTGAACCTAATCCTCTTAGATAAAATGTAAAGTTTAGTAATCTGAGAAAAGTTTTTTTGTTATAGACATATAAAAGACAACTCCAGTTGCTATTTATGTGGAAAAGATGGGTAGAGTGAGGAATTGACTTGCAACTGACATGAGAGTGAGTTTCAGCTTGCAACTAACTTGAGAAATAATATCTTCCATGCCTGTCTGAACCCTGTAGATTATATAGGAGATGTGATTTTTTGCAGACAAAAAGCATCAGCCCAAGAACCATCACCATCATCAGCTAAGCCTAAGTTAGTTGTTAAAAGTAAAACAAGATGCATGTAGACTTTGTACTTCTTATGCATGAATCTGATGCATAAGAAGTACAAGGTTTTAGCAAGATCATAGCATGATCTGAAAGACTTTATAGAGAGTATGGAATAATAGAGATAACATACCAAATAGAGAAGATGGTAAAACAAGCTAGATCAAAAGCTAGACACAAATAAGGGAGTGAAGCTAACGAATTAGAGTTGTCTGGAAAATAATTTAAAAGGTGACTGAGCAAATACTAAGAAAAACAAATTGTTTAATTTTTTGAGCCAGTATGGTCAGTAATACAAAAGCTAGACTTTCAGTGTGATGAGCCAATAACAACAGTATTGGCTGAGGCTTAATGAAAAAGAATATTCAGTTTAATCATAATTGTTTTCAAAGAGAGTGTAATGTTAAGAAGGAGAGCAATAAATAACAAAAAAAAAGAAAAAGATGATTGAGTGATGAGGTGTTGAGCAAAAACTACTTAAAATATTATTATGAAGATTGAAATCTGATTTCATTAAAAGTAGGTGAATTTATATGTAAGTGTATGCTCTGGCCAACCATATGGTTTTTAGAGCTTTTGCAAATCACAGGATGATTACCATCAACACTAAGTTCTGAATATGTACAGCCAAATTAGTTTCACAAAGAGTAATTTGGTCTGTTGAAATTTTCAAAGTGTAAAGTTTATTGAATGAAAATTTATTTGGAGTATTTATACAATTTTTTAAAATTGTATTTTCTTTATTTCCAAAAGTACCACTACAGTCAAGAAAGCTACCTTATGTTATTGCAATTTTTTTTTAATTACTGCATTCCTGCTAAAAAAACAAATTTAACAGGAAAAACACCATCAGTAAACAATGTAACTCGAGTTTACATTAATGCCAGTCTGTTATATGAAAAAGCGTGGTCAAGCTAATCAATAGAAGTTTTCTGCTTATGCCTACAATTTTTTATTTTATATACATTTTATATACATTTTTCATTGGGGTTGTAGTCAGATGAAAAATACATTTATACATTTTTTTAGGGTCAACAAGGACCGCCTGGTTTACCAGGCATATCTGGAATATCTGGAGAAAAGGTACATACAACATAAATATGATATTATAATAAAATATAAAGTTTATTATATAATTTTGATATTACTTTTTTTTAAATGTTTAGGGAAACATGGGACCACCTGGAATACAAGGTGTTTCTGGGGAAAAAGGAGATAAGGTAGATTTTTTGTATTTCCAAGTCATATTTTAAATATTAGGACAAAACAGAGCATAAGTAGTATGAACAAAGAAGACAAGTAGTATGAACAAAGAAGACAAAAAAGCTGTTAGCAATAAGTTATTATACTAAGTTAAGGGAGAGATACATTTAATGCACTGTTTGTAAAAATCCAAGGTAGCAGTTCCCAAGAAAACTGCAATATACCTATGAAAGCTTATGACTCTATGATTCCAGAAGTGTAAAATTTAATTTTTTTTTTTTTTTTAATTATCTTTGCTTCCAACAAGGCTGCAAGCAATCACTAATTAGTGTTGGAAGTTACTGGAATAGAAAAGACTAAATCTGTAGAGCAAGATAACGATTGACAGACGACTTAAAAGATTGCAAATTATATGAATCAGGAAAGCAAGATGAAGGAAGCAAATTCCAAAGAACTGATGTTCGAGGAAAAAAACTAGACGAATAAGGGTTTTTGGAGCACTTAGGAACAGTAACAGAAAAATGATGAGACTTTAAAATTTAAATTATCTGCCTATGTCTGAGAAAACAAATGAGTTTTGAAAATTTCCTAAATTAGAAATATATGTGAAATGACAGCATTTCCAAAAATTTCTTTTTACAGCATTTATCAACAATGAAACTTTTACAGTATTTATCAACAATGAAACTTTTTAATATGAGTAAAATAATAGATTCTATAATTTAAATTCTACTTAAATGTTTGAAAATTTTGGGAAAAGATGAAGCATTAGAAGTGAAGTAAGCATTTTTAAGGCTCTTGTAAAAAAAAATTTCTTGTCAAAAATTCATCAAAAAGTCATGATAAAAATTGAAAAGTTGTCTTTTGTCTCAAAAAGTTGTCTTTTGTGTCTCAAAAAGTTGTCTTTTGTGTCTCAAAAAGTTATCTTATGTGTCTCAAAAAGCCAAATAGAGATTTACCAATGTTTTTGAAGAAGTTCAAACTGTCTAAGGTCAGTTAATCAAATTTAGTTGCCACAATAGTTCCCCAAGGCATTTGTGATTTGTTTGAAAAAATTAATGTTAGAACGCCTGCAAGAGGAAATCTATATATATGCTTAATTTGCTGTATTGGACATTCAAATCGACAAAAAAACACCCTCTTGAAACCAAAAAAACAGAAGAATAAATGTCTGATCTTAAGATCCTAAGTTTCCTCTAAGCTATCCAGTTAAGCTGATGCTCAAATTTTTTGTCTCTGATTGTGAGAGAGCTATCATATCAATGCTCATATCATGATGCTCAAATTTTTTGTCTTTGATTGTGAGAGAGCTATCATATCAATGCTCATATCATGATGCTCAACTGTTTAGAGGAAACTTAAGATCTTTAGTTGCAAATGATTGTAAAGTTTGAAAGCAGATTGCATCATCAACAATCAAAAACAAGGATTAAAAGAAAAACAAGAAAAAAAAATGCTTAGAAGTTTAAAAATGTAGTTCATGAGCTTATTTTTTCAGTTAGGGATTCTGCTTTGGTAATGGTTCTTGCATCACCAATGGAGCGGCATCTTCTACTTGGTTTGATGAATCATCTTTTTAAAGTTCTCAAAGATGTATGGCTAAAGGCAGGTGAATGGCTTCAATTTTTACACATACAAAGGCAGATAATTACCACAGCTTTTATAAAAGAGTTCATTTTGAAATGTTTTTCTCATCATTAAAAAAATTTTTTAGATGTAGTATCTTATTATAACATTTGTCTTGTTTATTGTAAGTATATCGTAAGACATTTGTCTTGTTTATTGTAAGTTTATCGTAAAGTTTTTTAAATTTTCATGTCAAAAACTTTGTGCAACAGAAAAAGATTCTGCTCAGAATTTATAGCAAACAAATAATAAAAGCAATGCATCGTTGATTTAATTTTTTTTTTGTTATTAAGGTGCTCTCAGAATTCCTTACAGTCTTATCATAGAGCAATGCAAAAAAAGAATTCAACTTGGAAATTCACGCTTTTTTCCTTACCAATGTCGGTTATTAGGCTAGAATGTCAAACCTCAAACCTCTTCGTTCTGAGCCAGAACTCTAATCATTGCACCATGGCTGCAATAATTAAATTCATATTGGAAAAGATACAAACGCCCAAACAAACGCCCTATAAGTCATTCAGAATACTAAAAGAAAAAGTTGTGATGTGCCCTGTTGATTTTAACAGTAAAAATATATGAAGAAAAATTCAACCAAAATGATGAATACCAAAAATGATTAAATATTGTTTCACTTTGAGAATCTTTGAAGAGAAAACAATTAAAGTCAAGTAAAAATAATGTACTTTTGTATATGTTGCTTTTATTATTTGATTGCTGTAAAAATGCAAAATTTTAGAGATGTCATTTTGCATATATGTACAGTAAAGGAAATCTTCAAAACTTTTTTTCTCAGACATAGGCAGGTGGTTTAAATTTTTACGTTTTTGGAATCCCATATTCATAAGCTTTCACAGGTATATCGTGGTTTTCTTGGAAACTTACCTTGGATTTTTGCTAATATTAAGTAGATGTTTATAAGCTTATAAAGTTTTAAATGTTTTTGCTTTAGATTTAAATAATTTTTGGTTTGTTATTTATTTCTGTTCTACAATTTTGTTTTCAAATTATCAAAAAGCTTTTATTTTGCATTTTATTTTGCTTTAATATAATCATTTACTTTTAAGTTCATTGTTATGCATTTTGAAAATATTTAATAATATTTATTAGATGAGTTTTTAGCATTTTGAAACAAAATAGAGACATTTTTTCTGTATTTAGCATAGGATTTTGAGATTAAACAATTTTGTTTCAGGGTTTGCCAGGTACTCATGGTGCAAATGGGATGCCGGGAGAACCAGGAGCTAAAGTAATACTCTGTTCATTATAAATATTTTACACATTTTAAAAAATTAGTTTTGTAATAAATTTTTATATTTGGTTTTTATTAATAATCAATTCTTTTTCTTCTAGGGTCCAATTGGTCCACCAGGACAAAAAGGAGAGGCTGGTAAATTAGGATACAAGGTCATTTGATTATTGTTTAATAGTAATTTAAAATAAATTTAAATTAAACAAAATTTCAATTTTGTTTCAATTTTTTTCAATTTTCATTTGTGATCTGTTTGTTAATAGTATCCATTATTATAAAATTTGTTTTTTAAAGTATATTTAATGGCTATTAGTTTTTTTTTATAAATCTTTGTGTATAATATTTTAGGGTGAAAAAGGTCTTACAGGTGAAAAAGGACAACCTGGATTAAATGGAAAAAAAGTAATTATAAGCTTTAAGTGTTGTTGAATAAATAATTAACTGTTTTACACTATTTTATGTACAAATCAATAATTGAACATTTTTTATTTGTTTTTAATTTCGGTAGGGTAATGATGGCCCTGCTGGGGCTCCAAGTATCGATGGCCTGCCAGGATCTACTGTATGTTTTTGTTGAAACTCTTGGCTTTATATATTTCATATATTTTTATTTACATGTTTCTTTTATCAATAAAAAAATTTTATTACATTTTTCAATTGATAAGTGTCTTTGTAGTACAATTTTACTTATTTTACATAATTATGATATATATTTTTCTTGTTTATTTATATTTTTCTTATTTATTTGTCAATTATTTGATTAATTATGTTTTAGATGATTTAAATAATGATTAAATGTTTTAGGGACCACAAGGTTTACCTGGAAATGATGGAGAAAAAGGGGAAAAGGGATCTCCGGTTAATTTTACTTTTTATTTTAAATTTTTCTTTTTATTAATACAGTTTTTAAAACAAATTTTTTTTTATTTTATTTATTCAATTGTATTCAAAAATAACTTTTTTGTTTTTATTTTTAAAACGAAATTTTGTACAATTTTATTAAGAATTATGATTTTTTTTTTTCAGGGTAGAAATGGAATTGATGGAAAAAATGGATCTCCAGGAGCTCCTGGTTTAGAGGTTTAGAAAGCTGCAAGTTTATTTTATCAGGAATGTCATGCAAATGGAACCCAATTCCTTTTTTATGACTCATTCTGATATGATTCATTTTGCATTCAGTTTTTCATCAATGCATTTTGCATTCAATTTTTCATCAATGCATTTTGCATTCTCAGTTTTATAATTTTTTTTAAATAAACATGAGTTAATATAAAAGTTACAATTAAATTTTGTTAATGATTTTGTTTAGGGTTTACCAGGGCTTAAAGGTGAGCCTGGACAACCTGGAAAGGATGGAATACCTGTATGATAACTATTTTAATTTTACATTTTAAATAAACCAATTATTTCATTTGTCATACATTCACCACACACCATATATACACTATTTTGCATAAATCACATACTATCTGTACTATACATGTAACAGATAGTGTGTTTAACATAAACATGTTGTAGATTATGTTTTATAATTTCGATATAATATTTTTATGCATTCCAATACATCTTTTCTTTAAAACTTTACATATTTGTATATATGTAAGTTTTGATTTTTAATCAGGGCAGTATTGGACCCCCAGGAGAAACTGGATTGATGGGACCACCAGGACAAAAGGTTTTTCTTGTAGAATTTGCTTCGAATTTTTATTGTTGTTTATTACCTGTTTGTTATTTTTTAATTAAAACTACATTTACTTTTATTAATTTAAAAGCAAAACAAAAAACAACTAAAAGTATGAAATTTATTTTTAGGGAGAAGTCGGAAAACAAGGATTGCCTGGTTTCCTTGGACCTCGTGGACCCCCTGTGAGTATAAAAAAACTATGCTTTTAAGAAACTTCAAATAGCAATTGCGTTCTTCTTGTTATTTTTTAAGATTATTGTAAAGTTCTAATTGATTTTTTGCATACAGTTTTTTTTTTTATTAAGGGTCCAATTGGCAAATGTTTATCTCAAGTAGATCTGAAAAGTTCAGTAAGTTTTTGAGTTTTGCAATGCCACATAATTTTATTATATTTCAGAAAAAAAAATTTTAATTAATATTTTTAATTGGTTTTTCAAAATTTTTATTTATATATGTTTATTATTTCCCAGCCCTTGTAATCAACATAACCCTAATTGCAAAATTTTTTTTTTTTGTAAAATAAAAAAAACTGTCTGTGTTTATATTAAATGTATCATAATAAATGTTATATGTTTTTTAATAAATATTAATAAATGTTAAATGTGCCTTACCAACTAGAAAAATTTCATTTATACTTTTCAGATTATTATACAGGTTCAGTACATCTAATGTTAAGCTTTTTAGATAGCATCTAACTATCATCTAGATAGCATCTAACTATCATCTAGATAGCATCTAAATTTCATCTAGATAGCATCTAACTGGTCTTATACATTAAAGTCCTATGTTTTTAACTAAAATGTTGTAATGCTTTGATAATAATATTCATTATGAACTTGAATTATTACTTTATCAAACTTGATCTTGTTTAGAACTCTCCATATTTACTAAGTTTTATTTTATGTTTTGAAACAAAAACTCATGCTTTAGTCATAATTTAAATATCATATACTGTTGTTGTTGCTGTTGTTGCTGCTGTTGTTTTCTTTCAAAAACCCCATAGCTAGTTCAAACCCCAAGTTGAAAATAGTTGAAGCAATTTTTACATCTTTACAATTACTTAAAATAAACAATTGTATTTCTAAATCAGTCGTTTTACAGAATTGTTGGTTAACTGTATAATTGTTGGTTAACTGTTTTTAAGGTGATCTTCAATTGCACAAGTGCGTTTTTTTCTGAAAATTTTTTCTTGCAATATCTAATATTTAGTTGTTGTTTTTTTCCTGTTAAGGCTTCTTATGGTTGTTCTTATGTTTTTTGTAAATTTTTAAAATCATCCTTATAACTTTTTCCATTTCTGTATGTGCAAAGTTTTTTAGGTACGCTTACAAATATGTAAAATATGTATTATCTGCCTGTATTATATACTGATGACATGCAGACGATATCATGTATCAGATATCATTATGCTGATAACACATTTATCAGATATCATCAGTCTGTATTACAATATGCTTTAAGTTTGGATCAGTTTCTTGAAAGAATGACAGGCTGTTATGCATTCATTCTTTCTTTTACCTTTGCAGCCTTTTTGCATGTGACAAAACTAGTTTTTAAACATATTTTGAGCTACATGTTCCATCCCTGAATGTTTGATGTAACTGAATTAATGCTTCACAAATTATTTTTGAATGTACAACAGAGAAATTCTATTGTGCTGTCTGAATCTTTGATGGGATCAAGCAAATGCTTTACTAAAATGTCTTAATGATCAACAACACTGGTTGACTGTTCCATGATGTTGTTTGAGTCGATGAAAAATAAATTTTGCTTAACATATTCAAGTTCAGTCTTGAATAGAAAGGTAAGAACTGTTTTTTATTGTTGTAGAAGATATTAATTTAATAATTAATTATTAAATTAAATAAATACAATGTTTCCATTGGACATAGGATGCTTTATATTTCAATTTTTTCCTGGTCTCTAGTCTGTAGTAGTCTGGTCTCTAGTCTGTAGTAGTCTGGTCTCTAGGAGCTCTTTAAGTGTTGAGTGTTGCTATAGAAATAAAAATTCTTGAGATTTAATACATTGAACTTTTTTAGTCTTTCGCTTTAATTGATTGTTCCTCTAACTTAAAAGTTTTAAATTTTTTTCCCAAAAGTAGTCCATAAACCTCTTTACATTTTTAGAGCCCCTAAATATCATGAATTATAAGAAATATTCTTTTGTGACTTTCAGTTACGAAGTTCTTTTTGGTACTTCTCATCCCTGATATCAGTTACAATAATAATAATAATAATAATAATAATAATAATAATAATAATAATAATAATAATAATAATAATAATAATAATAATAAAAGTGTTAATAAAAATTGTAATAATGATAGAAACAATAAAAATAATTCTTTAATGTATAAGTTTTCAATAAAACAGTTTTCTTTTTTATTGTAGGACAAGCAAGGACAACAAGGAAATAAGGTATGTAATGTTGTTATCTTTTTTTTCCTCCCCTGCCAAATAAATAAGGACAAGAATGAAATGCAAAATTGCTCAGAAGAAGTAATCATAGCTAAATAGAGACCTGTATTGTTAAAAAGTTTGAATTGGTGAGAATATTTACTGAACGGAAAGGATTATTTAATTTAGTTTGCTTTTTATAATTAAGCTACATCTACTTCTATTTAGGATAAATATGGGTTAAAAATTTTTTTTATATGAAACTTCACGAAGAAAAATAACTTACTTTTATTTAAAGAATGTCAAATTGAAAACAATACACAATGATGTAATGATATGGTATTTTTCCGTTAATCAAAGGTTACATAACTTTCTTCCAGGTTTAAAAGGTTCCGCCCTATAAATAATCTTCCGCGTAAAATTAGCATTTGCGTATAATCCCTTTTTTTTCGTTTTCCAGATATATTTACAAAGTTCTGTGGCACTGTAGCTTTATTTTTGTATTGAAAAGAGTTCTCATTCTTGTACCAGCGATCTTTAAAGGCGTGCTCTGCTAAACCAATATAATTTAAACCACTATCCTGTAATGATGTTTTTAAATTGCAGACGTAAATTATTTTTTTACTAAGACACGTACCTTGCAAAGAACATTGTAGGTTGAATGCAGGTTGTGAAGGTTGCCGGCAGTTACATGTTGGAACAATTGTGTTGGAAACATTAGATAATGCTTTTTTATTGTGTGAGTTAATAATATTGGTGAAGTTTGGACAGCTATAACTGACTTTAAAATTATTCCTATTTAAAATTTTGCAAAACTTATGAGTTTTGCAAAATTGCAATAAAAATGCTTTTCAATAAGATTTAAAAAAATTTTGTGACGTTGGTTTTTACATTTTGCGAAAATGGAGGATTAAACCAAATAATGTTTCGTGATCTTAATTTTGGTTTTGATAGGGCAATATTTTTTTGTAAATTAATCTTTTCATTATACCCACTTGCTTCTAACGCATTTTTATAAAACGATGTTGCTTTATTGAAAACTTTCTTGCTAGATGAAATATTGCTAATATGGTTAGATATCATAGTTGGTATAGATTTAATAATACTAGGAGGGTGGTTAGAATTTACGTTGATGTATAATGGGTGATCACCTGGTTTTCTGTATGGCTAGAAAGTATTTTCTAACAGGTTGAAAGAAAATTTACAATTTTTAAGCTGTTTTTTTTAGTAAGTTTTAGATTAAATTTCTCCTTAAAAAGATAAACAATGTTTTTCTTTATTCTCTCGGATTGTGGTCCTTTAATTCCATGAAAACAATAAAGCCCATCTCTATATAATCAACCAGTTTACAAACCATAGTCTTGACTTAAAGTATGTAAAATAAAGAGTCCAACTAACTTACACACTTCAGCTCCATTGTAACTTTCGATAGTGACATCAAAATTAGGTTCACCAAGTTTTTTGACCCAGATACTCTTGTATTCAGTAAACAGTAATGATTTTCTTTAGTGATTAACAATATCTAATGTGTTTTCTGAAATTTCTGTAAACTGCTTGGCATGAATAAGGGAAATTTGAAGTAATTCTTTAGAGATAGAAGGATAGAACTCTTCGATATCAAACTGGATGAAAGTGCAGTTGTGTTTGTCTTTAATATTGCGGAACCAATTTATTATGTCATCCGTATTATGTCATTGATTTACAAGGGTGGCTTTTCTCACTTTATTGTTGATGTTTTCTAGTAAAATTTTACTAAACTTTTCAAGTTCTGGTTTAGATGGATTAATTATTCGACATTTAGTATTGTTTGCAAAATCATCTATGTGATCCTTTATCGTTATAAACGCAGTATTCATTGTAAGACATTCTATCCTGTTGTCAATTCCTAAGTTTTTAGCAATTACTTTAGCCATATTATTAATGTTATTATTAATTTATTATTAATGTTATTATATTGTGAATTATCAGAGTTTTTGTAAGTTATGTTTTCATTGAAAAGTTAATTGTAAGAAAATTTTATCTAGCTCCTAAATATTATGTGATTTACCCACAAAAAGAAACATTTTTTCTGATGATTTAATTTTGCAAATGTTATTAATTAGTTGTTTTTGAAACTGGTTGTAGGAATTTGTAAATGAAATATTTTGAATCATTTTATGTAGATCGTTTTACTAGATCCAGATGTTGCAGTGGACATTTTCTTGTTTTAAAGTTAAAGCGGTAACATGGTTTTATATATATAAATATATATATATATATATATATATATATATATATATATATATATATATATATATATATATATATATATATATATATTACAACAACGTTTGCGAAAACCATACCATTCTCTCCTTACACCACCTCAATTTTGTGAGCCAACCTCTGGCCATCAGCACTCTTTTTCTAACTGCTGCAACAAAGCTTGTGTTTTTTCTAAGTAAAACTTTTCTAATAATTTTTGAAGAAAGTTCTTTTCATGTTTTTCATTGAATGGTTTGATAAAACTATTAAAATGTAAAATGTAACATCAAGTGAACTTGATACTGACATATTAGTTGTAGAGAAATAAATTACCTGTCATGCAAAAAATTTTCTGTAATAAAATAAATTTGAAAAATAATTGTATTTTTTGTTTCAAATAAACAAATTTGTATAATTTTTTTTTATTTTTTAGGATGATGATGGACTGCATGGACCCCAGGGTTTGCCAGGTCTCAAAGGCAATAAGGTTTTTATTTTAAATGTTTTTACTATATGGTATTAAATTATATATATATATATATATATATATATATATATATATATATATATATATATATATATATATATATATATATATATATATATATATATATATATATATATATATATATATATATATATATATATATAAACAGTATTGGCCATTGAATTAAGGCACCTTCTTTTAAAAATTGCAGTTTTAATTAAGCAAGTCCAGTTTCTCTTTCATGAAATGTTCATATTATATGTACTATTAGTATTATAAAATGTTCTAAAACATATCTAGCAGCATTAATTTTAAAATTCATCAGCAAAAAGTCTCAAAATCTAAGTATTTTGTAGGGTAACCACGATTTTTTAATACAGCCTGTATACGAGAAGGCATACTTTTTACAAGCTTGTCACAGTACTCTGGGGTAATTACATTTACCAACACCTGCTTCAAAACATTTTTTAAATGTTCCTCTGACATTGTACGATGTGCTGACACTTTAGCTTTCATTAAGTTCCAACAGTTTTCAATAACGTTCAAATCAGGCAAATTTGAGGGCCAGTTCTTTAAAAGTTGCACATCGTTGTCATAAAACCACTTCTTGACTGATTTCGCAATATGATATGGTTCTGAGTCTTGTTGAAAGATGGTAGTTTCAGAAATGTTTATATGTGTCTTAACCTTTGACTCTATAACCTGCATATACTTTGCAGCATTGACCTTTTTGCCCTTACCGAAGATGTTGATTCCGCATCTACCCTTAGCTGAGATAGCTCCCTACACCATAACAGATGGCGGATGTTTAACAGTCTTCAGAGTGTATTTAGGGTTGAGTCTTTCACCTACCGGTCGATGAACATAACTTTACCCTGAACCACAATGCTGCTGGAAAGTACTTTCGTCAGTAAACATCACTGTAGTCCACCACTCAGCAGTTTTGTCCTTCATATCACAACAGAGCTTCACACATTTACTAATGACAACTTGTGAGTACCCTTCACCATGCAAAGTTTTGACTTGACCTTTAAAAAAATCACTCGAACCTGCCTTTTTACCTATGTTTACTTTATTAAATTTATTTACTATTTACTTTAAAAAAAGAACTTTAATAAGCTTTGATGACGTCTTTTAAACAAAGATATGCAAAAAATTTTAATTTGATTCATATACAGTGGTTTCCATAAATTTAGACGCACTCATATTTGAGAATAGAAATTTTTAGTTTTTTAACGATAAAACAATGACGAAAAAAGATTTCGGTTAAGTTTTTTTTCTATTTATTAGATAAATACAAAATTTAAAAAAAGTTAAAAAAAAAAATGAAATACTAAGTAATAATTAGGTACAACTACATGGTATTAAAAAAATTAGACAAAAAAAATTATTCATAAATTTAGACGCACGATACATTAGAAGGCGTAATTTATGAACCAATCAATATTTTGTGTATCCGCTTTTTGCTTTAATACAACTGAGAACTCTTCTAGGCATAGACTCAATAAGATTTTTGCACATCGCTTCTAGGACCCCATACCAAGTCTCCTTAATGAATTCCTTCAGCTGACCAAGTGTGGAAATTTGAACCTTTGCTAATTCACGGTCAATCCAAGCCCAAATATTTTCAATCGGGTTCAAATCAGGTGAGTATGGAGGCCACGGTATTGTCATGATATTATTATTGTTGAACCGCTCCTTTGTATAGTATACAGTATGTGCAGTAGCGCCATCTTGTTAAAGTTTCCATGGTTTATCATTAAGCATAAGCAGGTCAATTTATGGAATTAGGTTGTTTTCCAGTACTTCTACATATATTCTGTAGTTGATTTTTCCGGTGTATGTTTGACACATACCAACACTTTTGTAATTGAAGCATGACCAGATTCCTATCGAGCCTCCTCCACTTTGTACAGTTGGTCTAATGTACCTGGCGTAATACTTTTCGTGAGTCATTCTTTTGACTGTTATGTTAGATTTGTGATTGATAAGCTTAAAGTTACTCTCATCACTTTACATAATGTTTTCCCATTGTTCTATTGTCCAATACCTTCTTTCACGACACCATTTTAGTCTCCTTTGTTTATCATATGGACGCAGAAGCAGTTTATTCAAAGCAGTGTAGACTCCAATCTTGTATTTGATAAGTATTCGGCGGACTATGCTTTGAGAAATAGATGTATTTCGCATTGTATTGAATTCTGTGGTCAATTCTTTGTAACTAGTTCTTGGATTAGCTCTGACAGCTCTAAAACGAACACTGTCGTCCTTTCTGGTGGTTGACAAGGGTCTATCTGGCCTCGTTTTCTCGCTGGCACCACCAGTGTGAAGAAAGTTTTGTTTCGTTGTCGGAACGCATTTCTCAGAAAATCCAATTAACTTGGCGATTTCACCTTGAGTGAAATCGCCAAGTTAATTGGATTTTCTGAGAAATGCCATCTTTCACCTTGAGTGATACATCTTTTGCCCATTTTTCGCGTCTTTTTAGTGCAAAAATAACTTAACTTTTGTTTATTTTTTAAATAATGATTAACTATTTCCAGGTAAGTCATATTTATATAAGGTTTTTTGACAAAATGGGAAAAAACTATTAGTTAACTATCAATTAACAAGATATAAGACTTTTTTGATTGTGCGTCTAAATTTATGAACGAAATAAAATCAAGCTTATCAATTAACTTTTTTGTGTTAATCGGTATAGAATGAGTAATAAACATCATGTAAAAAAAATGAAGGTACTCTATAATAGAGTTTTACTTCCTCTTTTAATTTATATATCAAACATAGCGGTAGCACTTTTATTTTATTTTTATTTTGAGTATTTTCTTACATATATGAAAAAAAATGCGTCTAAATTTATGAAAGCTACTGTATATATATATATATATATATATATATATATATATATATATATATATATATATATATATATATATATATATATATATATATATATATATATAAATATATATATAAATATATATATATATATATATATATATATATATATATATATATATATATATATATATATATATATATATATATATATATATATATATATATATATATATATATATATATATAAATATATATGTATATATAAATATATATATATATATATATATATATATATATATATATATATATATATATATAAGTATAATTTTGCTGTGAGGATATGTTCAGCAAGAGTGCTCGATGAATGATATCAGAGCTATATAATTGTTTTTTTTTGTAGAGGTTAAATAAAAAATAACTACATACATTTTACTACTAAAAGTTTCATGCGTTTAGCAATCATCAGGTAAGGGTTAGGGTTATAGGGATATATATATATATGTATACGCTATATATATATATAAATTAAGAAGGTAAACTAGACACAAATACATACTTTAAAATGTATCCATCAGATTGTAACTCACCAAGGATTTACGGAATGATTAAAGCTCACAAACCAGAAAAAGATTACCCAATGCGCCCTGTTGTATCAACCATTAACACACCACCTTATGGAACATATCATATCAATTTTAACAAGATAACATTATCTTGTTAAAATTATTCAACCGACTCTGAACAAAAATAAAAGTAGACTTATGAATTCTAATAGTTTTGTAAATGAAGCTAAGCAATGGATAATAGATCCTAACGAAGTTCAAGTTTCATTTGATATAGTCAATTTATATCCATCCATACCCATTGACAAAGCAATTGCGGTAATTATTGATATATTGAACGCTGACATTGATGACTTAAAAACTCAAACTAAACTTATTCTTGCAGACATACATCAGTTAATTGAACTTTCATTAAGTATATGCTATTTTTTATTTGAAAACAATATCCGAATAATACCTAATTCAGGTCCTATAGGCTTATTTTTAATGGTTGTTATGGCAGAAGCGTTTTTACAAAATATAGAAAGAAAAGCCCTTAACATAGCAATTATTCATACATCCGAACCAAAAACTTACAAGAGATATGTAGATGATTGTCATGCTTGCTTTGCTTCAATAAAACAACAACAAATGTTCCTGAACATCCTTAATGAACAACATCCTGCCATTAAATACACAGTGGAACTTGGAAATGACCTCAAACAACTCAATTTCCTAGATATTAACATTACAAACACAGGCTCTGGAACTTATGAATTTCAAATACATAGAAAAGAAGCTATTACAAATGTTCAATTTAAACCTAACTAGAACATTAATCCTAACATTATTATTGGCGTTTTCAAAGGATTTTTATGTCATGCTAAAAGAATATGCTATCAAAAACAAAGGAAAATGGTCCAGTTTGGGTGCAACTGAGCATTCTTAAAAAATGCCATGGTAAGTTTGATTGGTTGCACCCTAAAACATCTGTAGCCCCAGTATCAAACTCGGAAAATCAGAGAGTCACTCGAAATAAGCAAGGCTAGGGTTCAACAGGAGTTGAGAAATGGTGACGTGGTTCTCAATCGGGATGACGGTGATAACGTAACAACCAAAACCTGGGGGCCATTTTTTAATAAAATCTGCTGACGTCAGTTATTTGAAAAGTTTTTTCTGTATTATATTTTGGCTTTTTAATGTTATCTTTTTAACGTTTTGTTTTTACTATAACGATTTTTGTAACTATTTTATTTATTATACTTGATGACGCTGATAACAATAGATCAGCGAAATAATTATATATTAAAGAAAAAATATACATATGTTTGAAAAAAATTTTATACGCAGCTTTATTTATTGAATTCTAACCATATTTTAATGTATAACAAGAAAATGACATTCAAAGATTATGTAAAGAGTATATATATACTATATATATACTCTTTACATTTACAAAAATTTAGTATAGGGGTAAATGCAGTTTTTTTTAGTTTTTCAAAAATTTACATTTTTGGACATTTTTGGACTGCCCTTTCATCATTTAACAATTTATTTTAAAATTTTAATAATAACATTTGTTGCTTCCATCTTTATACTTTCCATCGTCACTTTTCTTTTATAAATAGTTTTTTTTTTCAGGGGGCTCGTGGAAGAACAGGGCCACCTGGTGTTGCAGGACCAAAAGGTTCTAAGGTAAATTTTTTAGTTTTTGTAATATATATATATATATATATATATATATATATATATATATATATATATATATATATATATATATATATATATATATATATATATATATATACATATATATATATATATATATATATAAAATTGATTAACAAAAAAGTTGAATTAAATTTTTTTTTATGTTTTTTCTTATAAAAAGGGAATTCCAGGTGATGCAGGAATAAGAGGTTTATCTGGGCGTACTGGAGAACAGGTTTTTAGTTTAAACTAAAATTTAGATTGTTTGATGCTTAAAAAAAATTCATATAAATAAAGTACATTTATTATGTTTTTAAAATTAATACATTTTTTTGTTAGGGTCTGCCTGGTGTAAAGGTAATTAATGTTTTTTTTTTTTTAGTATTTCTTTTTAATTCAACTTCAGTATTTAAGTTTTATAAATTATATTAGGGTGAAAAAGGAAATCGTGGTAATTCTGGAATGAAAGGAATTCCAGGTCCACCAGTAAGTATTTTTCACTAAGGTTTGCTTTTTTCCAGTAAATATTTTTTGTGCTATAAATCATTACCTCTAGTAATAACATTATTAAGACCATTCAGGGATCATTTAAAAATATGTATATATATAAACTGCATTATGAAATGATTATGGTTTTGATATTAATATTTTTTTTTATAATTATTTATGAGTGCTTTTGATTAGTTATGCTGGTTTTATATCTACAAGATTATTTCAATATATCATAACTATTTATGTTTATTATGATTGTTACACTGTACAAAGACCTTGTTCATCAAGAAACAAACTTCATCAAGACACAAACATTATTCATTAAGATACAAACTTTGTTCATCAAGATACTAACTTTGTTTTTCAAGACATAGACATTGTTCATCAAGATACAGACCTAGGTTTGCATTTGAGAGTTATTTAAAAAGACCTGTTTTAGGCAATAGTGACCCCCTAAACCAGGTAAATGCATAAAATCTTTTTACAACCTTTACAATCTTTAAAAACTTTTGATAAAACACTCAAGTAATAAAGTGTTCTGAGGAATTTATTAGTAGAAATAAAACCTGTTTATAACCTTTGTATATATCTAATGATAATCTATGTGTATATGTAATCTATTTATATATATAATCTATGTAAATATTTAATTTATTTATTTATTAATATATATATATATATATATATATATATATATATATATATATATATATATATATATATATATATATATATATATATATATATATATATATATATACATATATACATATATACATACATATATATATATATACATACATATATATATATATATATATATATATATATATATATATATATATATATATATTTATATACATATATACATACATATATATATATATATATATATATATATATATATATATATATATATATATATATATATATATATATATATATATATATTTTATATATATATATATATATTATATATATATATATATATATATATTTTATATATATATATATATTTTATATATATATATATATTTTATATATATATATATATATATATTTTTTTATTATTATAGAAGTTTTCGCTGGATTTTAGATACCAGCTTCTTCAGCTTGTTAACATTTAACAAGCTGAAGAAGCTGGTATCTAAAATCCAGCGAAAACTTCTATAATAATAAAAAAAAGTTATAAGTGTTGAGAGAAATCGTATTTTTGATGTTTTAAAATAATATATATATATATATATATATATATATATATATATATATATATATATATACATATATATATATATATATATATATATATATATATATATATATATATAATATATATATATATATATATATATATATATATATATATATATATATATATATATATATATATATGTATATATATTGTTTATGTATATATTTATAATTTATGTGTGTGTATATATGCATATATATACATATATATATATATATATATAAATAAATATATATATATATATATTTATATATATATATATATATATATATATATATATATATATATATATATTTATATATATATATATATTTATATATAGATATAATATATAATATATATAAATTTATGTGTGTGTTTAATTTAGGGACCGCCCGGCCTTCCAGTAAGTTTTGTTTATTTGTTATTATTTTGATTTTCATAAATATATTTTTTGTTATTCAATACTGCATTTTTTTTTCAATACTTTTTTTTTATTTTATAGGCTGCTCCTGCTCATTGGGTAATTTATTAAATTTTTTTATTTTATGTTATTTTAAGTGTATTTGTGATACATAAATATGATTTCAACTTTTTTGTATTTTTTTTTTTCGTGGTCAAAGTTATGTTTTTATACACTTCAGCGGTTAATCATTGGATTTAAAAAAATAGAAGAAGAAATGATCAAAATTTAATAAGCTATAAAAAATTATGCTTTAAAATAAAAACGTTTAATATAGTTTAAAAAAAGTTATGTTTAAGTTGTGTAATGTGATATCCCAAAATTTTTTTAATTTTTATTTTTTTTGATTTATTTAAATTTTAAATTTTAATTTTAATAAATCAACATAATTTTTTTTCTACAATTTTCTTGTCATGATGTCATGATGTCATCATGATGTCATGTTTAAAAGTTTTGAGTTATATCATTCTTTTTTTAGTCAAATATTTTACAAGTTCCCCCAGAGGAGGGATATTACGAAGAATCTGGTAAAAATAGACGTCAACGTAGAAACACTTATGACATAACTTTTCAAGCATTGGCTGAGGAACTGAATACTATAAAAAAAGAGTTGAATAGTATGAAGTTACCCAGTGGCGTAAAAGAAAACCCGGCTCGCTACTGTAAAGATTTGTTAACTTGTAATATGTTACACAAAGATGGTAAGGTTAGGGTTAGGGTTAGGGTTTTTTTTATGTTTTAATTAAAAGATTATATTTTTTGAGATTTTGTAATCAGATTTTATTGCTGATGCTGGATAGAAATATGAAATATATTTTGATAACTTTTTTTTTAACAGAGTTTTATTGGATTGATCCAAATCAAAGCAGCGCAACAGATGCTGTGTATGCCTTTTGTAACTTTACAGCAGGCGGTGACACTTGTATATATCCTGATGTCTCTAAAAGCTCTGTAAGAAATGTATTGCTATGTAGATTAATATAAATACATGTTGAAAACAAGTTAGTGTATTCCAAACTATAGGTCATCCAAAAAGTACATATGCAATAATATTCAATTAAACTTTTTAAAATTAAAATTCGATTCTTTTGTTAAAAAGAAAAAATTTTTTAGGAGAGATAAAGAACAAGAAATAGTTTAACTGCATACATACTCTCTGTCTTCAAACTCCCTACCCCCTCCCATTGTATGCATTTGTATATTTTTGGGTAACCTTCTTCTCCCTCTCATAACTGTGTACAAACTTGATGGAAGAATCTTTATTATTTATGTATTTAATATTGTATGTATTTTATTTTGACAGATCTATATCTATTTGAAACAATTTATTGAGAAGCCTATATATATATTTTTAAATAGACTGTTTTTGTCTTTAAAACAGACTGGATTTGCTTACAACTTTGAAAACAAGACATGGTTTACGGATATAGAACGTGGATTTATTGTAAGTTTAATCTTATTTATGCAGCTTCTGCTTAATTATGCAGTTTACAATTCAGCTAATTACATAATTATTTAATTTCTAGAAAAGTATAGCAGTTTTATAAATTTATTTTTCATTTTCTTGCATTTTTAGATGTTGTAATTTAAAATTTCAGTTAAATAATTTCTTTACTTTAATTTTTTTATTTTTAGTTTTGATTAAAATGAAAAAAAAAAGTGGAATTGCCCCAGTCCTAAAAAAACTCTTACAATAGTTTTTTAAGAGTTTTATTTTTTTTTAATTTAAAATTTCAGATTTCTTATGAAAATATTGGACGCACTCAAATAAAATTTTTAAGGCTACTAAGCGAACAAGTATACCAGCAGGTGGAATTCACTACACCTTGGTACATAGAAATAGTATCAATAAAATTTCGAAAGTTGACATGGGAAAATGGAGAAACTACACTGAGTAAAGATGTTGACCCTTCTTTCAAAATTTGTCAGGTTAAAATGTTTTTTAGTTCTTTATTGTACAAAAATAATGCAAATAATGAATTAATTAAAATAAACACTGTACAATACCAATAAATTCATGAAAGCAAGGAGAATGGAGTGAGATAGGGCAAAATCTTTTGTTTGTGCGATGCGTTTTATATTTTTTCACAAAATTTATACAAATGGGTTGAAATTATAGTTCACTAAATTGTCTTGAGAAATTATTGCAAAACCCATTACTTAACTGTTCAAGTTCAAGATATTGATTTTTTAATGTGACACTATCCCATGTCACCCTGTGTCAGGGTGAAATGGGACGACAGTTGGGGTGAAATCGATCAAGTTAGAAACAAATAATTTTGAGCATTGTGTTATTCTGTCTATTCTACTCTTTATATAAATGAAAATGGCCTTATTTATTCTGCTATCCAATGGTAGGCAGAAGTTCTAATTTGCTGTTTCTTGTCATTAATAACTTCAGATACAATTGATGGTGATGTGGGGATTGTGTTTTCCAATCAGATTTATTACTTAAACTCATTAAATCAGATATACTTAAATTCTTTAAATCAGATATATTAGTTAATTTATAAAACTCAGTTGCAAGGTCTTTTCGATTGGATACATTAATTAGACTGACAGAAAATGTTTTTGTACCGGTAGATAAATACTAATGGAGAAACTAGCTAAGGTAGAAACATATAATAGATTTGGCCGGTCAGATACATTTGCTTTTAACCATGAGTCACACGTTGAACTGTAAAATTTCTCTAATTGCCAAAATACTGATCTGTCAGGTGGTTGGAGTTTGTAGCTGCAATGAGGTGGCAATGTCAAAAGCATTATATTACTTTCTTTAGCTTTATTAATTGGTTTATGACTTTTGTGATTATTCTTTTTAAAAATTTGGCATGATTTTTAGTAGAAAGTCCATACAAAATGATCAAACCATTCCAAAATATTTTCCAGTTTTCTGGTACTTTAATAATATTTTTTATGCTTATTGATATATAAATTGTTTTGTTTCTCTTACATTATATCCATAATGCATATTAGATGCTTGATGAAGATACATTTATAGTTTATCTTCTTGTGCCTTATTATAAATATATTTATGTTGTTTATCAAAATATAAGTTATAATAAGAAGTTTCTTTATAAATTTTTATTTTCTGCTGTAAACTTGATTTTGAATTTTATACTCTTAGGCAACAGCTTGTAGTGATAAGCTCCCAGATTCAACAGCCATCAAAGCAACAGTTAACTCAGTGGCTTTTATTGTATGATCACCATGCTTTAACTGATTTGTCACTTGTTTGTACTTTCTTGGCTTCTGAAAAATATTAGACGTTTCACTCAATAAGTTGTCAAAAAAAATTTTAATTTCATTAACTAAAATCTAAATGAAGATATAAATTTTGATTAACTTTAATGAAAATAAAATAGTATAAAACTTATAATGAGATTAAACTTAAAAATGGTGAATAGTAAAGACCTAAAAAATTTAAACTGAATTTAAAATATGCTAAAAAAATATTTGTCAACAAAACAATACTTATTAAGAAAGATTTCTTTAATCAGGGTAAAATTTCAAGACAGAGAAATCCTATATAATTAATTTTTATATAATTAATTTTTTTTTTCTATGAAAAAAAGATCACAGTAACATAAAGTAAACATTTCACAGTAACATAAAGTAAACAATTTTTTTTTGTTTACTTTCAAGTTTTTTGGAAACTAAATTTTTGCTTTTTTACAAAAAATTTTATTATTCAAGTTAAAGTAAAATAAATTTAGAAAGTGATGAAATTGAATAATGTTCCATTTCACCCTCATTTTTCTGTTTCAATTTACCTCATCACTAGTAAGTTTAAGAAAACTTTTATTTTTTATAGTTCATTTAACCATATATTAATCATATTTTTTTAGTAGTTAAATTAGACAACAATGATTAATCAAAAGCTATAGACATAAAAATACATGCAAACAACACATTAATATTTAATATTAATGATGTCTTTAAAATCCAGGAAACTTGTTAGATTTTTACATATTTAAAAATAATTTGAAGTAGTTTTTGTAAACTTATTACAGACTTATTAACCTCGCATTATTTCTGAGATATTACCATACCCCATAGTAACCATTGTAACCCGTTAAAATCTGCTTATTTACATTATTTATTATAATGTAAATAAACTGATTTTAAATTTGAAGTCTGTTTATCTTCATAGCGCACCACACTTTTGAAAAATCGTAATTTGTTTTTGAGGTTTTGAGATTTGTTGGAGAATTTTTTGTTTTGAAAATTATGAATTTTAAAAACATTTTTCTACTATAGTACATTTTACTGTACTTAACAAATTATAATAAATAATTCCATAGTTCTTGCAAAACTTTTCTATGAGCACTAGAAGTGTTTAGTGTATGATTTCCGCATGATTTGGTGGAGTTACTCTACGTGCTCAACACCTTCCATAAACTCAGGGTAAAAGCCCATGAGTGACATCATTAAATGGAATTTCAGAAACATTTTACATCCTGAAGCTCTACATAAGTGGGTTAGTTGTTGAACAAGACCCGTGTAGTTGGAAGAACGATGGTTACCAAGGAATACTTTACATATAGTTTGGAATGCTTTCCAAGATGTCAATTGGCAGTTATCTATGGTTTGCTCAAACCGATCATCTGTCTTATGTCAGGTCCTACAAAAACTCCCTTCTTTAATCTTGGCCTTGTTCAATGCAGAAAATTTATAAACAAGGTATCTGGAGGCTGCACTTTCCTTATCAAAAGCTTTTACCAGTTGCTTAAAAAAACCCAGTTTGATTTGTAGAGGTGGTAATATTACATTTTGTCTTTTAACTAAAAAGTTGTTTATGTTGTTGGTAACAAAACATAACATCTATCGTAAAATGGGGTTACTTGGGTCAGCTGTAAAACTTGGGGTTACTTGGGTCAAATTTTGAGGTCTTAAATAATGGCCCTTAATCTCTACGGTGTTAATTCTATCGTAATGGTAAGTAAGCATATTGTTTGTTTTAATGCACTTTCATCACAAAATCTTAGCAACACGAAAATGAAATTAAGTTGTTAACACTAGAATTGAATAAAATTTTATAAGGTAAAACTTTATTAAATATTTTTTACATAGGAGGAAAAGGTGTATATCAAATTTACTAGCGCTAATATTTATATCACATTTTGCAATATTTATATCACATTTTGCAATATTTATATTACATTTTGCATTATTTATATCACATTTTGCAATATTATAGCTGTAGTAATTGAAGTGATTAAGTAAAAATTATTTTTTTAAGAAATGAGGCATTCGGGGTAACTTGGATCAACGTTTATTCAAAATTTTTGAAACAGTTCTTTTGTAATAGTAATTTATAAAGACAGTTTTATCATATTAACTTGTTCCAGTTATATTTTATTTAATTTGTTAAGTTAGTACTACTTAATTCTAACCACATCTACAAAAGTTATATCTTTACAGAAGGTTTATCTTAACAGAAGATTTATCTTTACAGAACCCATTAAGGGCTTCAGTCAATCTCTTTGTAATAAATAATTATTTTGATGAAAGAAAAATATCACTTAAGGATGTTAATCCAGATAATATAACTATGATAAGACAAATTTGACTGACAACCCCACTAGTAAGCAAGTCTTGACAAAACGAGGAATAAAAAAGGTAACTAGAGTATTAGACCAGAGTAAAACATTAATATTATTGATGGTGTCAGCAAGTGCATTAGGAAGGATGTTGCCAATTTACATAGTTTACAAAGCTACACACTTGTATGATACCTGGTAGAAAGAAGGAGCTAAAGAATTTCGATTCAATAGGAGTCAATAATAAGAAATTAATGAAAAAGAGAAGTTTATGTGTAAATAGTTATTGGACTATTTCATGAAATGAACTTTATTTGTTGGGTGTTATTTTTATAGGAAGTGCATTTTGTTTGTTTATTTGGTTATTTAAACAAAAATTAAACATAAACATTCTAGTATATATATTTAACATGCGGTTGTACACAAATTAATTAAATTGAACATTCAGTTAGTTTCTTTTACAGTTAGTTTTTTTTCGAGTATTCTTAATTTTTTCATCTTGAATGTTTCTTTTTTTTTTAATTAAAAATCAGTACTCAAATGACTCTTCTTTTACAAATACTTTTTTCCTCCAAACAACTTACGAAATCTTAATAAGAATTTTTTCCTTTTTCATAACAAGTTTTGACCTACAAATGTTAGTTGTGGTTTTACACAAACTTTACCCATTTTAATAGTGAATTTTATGATAATCTTTAACATATGGAAAGTTTTGTTGATGATCTAGATAAAAATTTGTTTTCTTTGACAGATGGATTTCAACGAAAGGTTTAAGTGTAGAAGAGTTAAAGTTTATAAAGAATAAGATTAGAAATGATTAGAAATTTAAACACCTTTTTAATAAATGCATTTATTAAAAAGGTGTTTAAATAAGTGTGAAAATAACGTAATCAATGTTCTAAAAATGGTGAATGTACCAAATTTAAATGCAGATAAAATATATGCAAAATTTAGAAAAATAATGAATATACCGGGGCCGAGAATTTGTGCCGTGAGTTAAAAATTTACATCAAATACAAGAATGTTTAAACTTGAAAAAATCTTTTTGAGGTTCACATTTTCTAATCAGCCGTGGTGTAGTGGTTAGAGTTTTGGCTTTAGAACTGGAGATCTGTGCTTTAAAGCCGGCTCTGGGCATATGTGCAACATTAGTAAGGATAGAGGCGTGAACTTCCTGGTTAAATACTATTCCATTATAAGACTTTTACAAGATTTCAGGAAGTTTTTTATTATTAGATTCCAGGAAGTTTTTATTATTAAGTACCTCTAATCCCCTTTTGTTTTTATTATAATGATTTTATATGATTGACTGTGTTACCATACATACGTACCATGAGCGGATGTTACCATACATACGTACCATCAGCGGATGAAGCATTTTTTGATGTTTGAGATCCGGACATTAAAACATTCTGAACATTAAGCTCCAAACGTATATAAGTTTTTACTTATGTCAAATAAGAATGATTTGCAAAAACTTACAACTATTTGAGCCTTGGAAAATAAAACCCAAAAAATTTAGCTCGACCTTCCCCAAACGTGAGAGCAACTTGATAAAGTATATTTTTTACTATTCTCAAAAACTTAAATTTCATTCAATAATCTCTTAGCGTTTAAATGTTATAACCTTATAAATTTGTAACACATTTGAATTAAAGGGAGTTCAAACTTAACTTAGACATTATTTTTGAATGCTAAGAGATTATTGTATAAAATTTATAATATTATCGATGACTAAAAAAATAATAAAAAATTCATTTTATTAACTTTAGGGGTTTTTTGTTTCCCGACTTTAATCATCGCAAAGCATCTTTATTTGACATAACATAAACATATATAGTGTTTGGAGTATATATCATATATACTTGATATATTTAATTTATATTTATTTATATAAAATATATACGATTATAAAAATATATTTTATGTATTTCATTATAGGGAATCACTTGCACTGTTTCTATGTTCTTAACATCGTCTGACTTGCACTTGTTGCCTGTTACAGACTTTCAAATTTATGGTGTTTACAAAGATCAAAACGAAAGTATGAATAGTTCACTCCTTTCATTTAAAGTGGGACCTGTGTGTTTTAAGTAGCAGATAATGGAAGAAAAAAAGCCAATGTCGGGAAAAAAAATTTGATTTATAAGATATATTCATATAAATATTGCTCCGTCGTTCGAAGAGTGACATCCGCTTTCTATGTATCTCGCTAATTTGATAAAATGTTATACATTAATACCTAAGGAATCACGAAAAAAGATGTAAAACCTTTTTAAAAAAAGCAACAATATTTAAAAAAACTTGAATTTTATTCGCAGAGAGTTAAGAATTTAAGATTTTTTCACGCAAAGCAACATTGTGCGGACTTCGTAATTTGCGGAAACCAAACACTAATTTATTTTATCGTAACTATTTAATATTCACAAATATTTCGCAGCGTTAGTTACGCTAAACTTACTCCAAAAATCTATTAATTTGAAGTTAAATTACAAACAAATAAAAAAATATTGGTTTAAATTTTTAACTAAAATAAACGGTAGTATAAATGTATTAATTAATGAGCAACTACTATATATATTCAGCTTTTGTAAATGCTATAGCAACTTTATTTTTTACTTAAAATTTAAATTCATTTTCATTAATTAACCAATGTTCCTATTTAGTTTAAATACGAATATTGGTTTATTAGTAAAAATAAATTAAAACTTGACAAAAAAATTTAAAATTAATTTTAAACAATATTTAAGGGATTATAAATACATTTAAAATCTTTATGAAGTACATTTTCTTTGAGACTCGCGTTGACCTACTTTTGAATAATTTTTTATTGTTGAAAATATCAGGGGTTTTACACCAAGTGCTAAGAAATGTACGTAAAGGTACATTTCTTAGCACTTGGGTATGCGCTTACAACTAATTTTTTTGTTGTTGTACGCGCTTTTTAGTTCTAAATCTTGCGTATTTTATCCTAATAATTTTTTATATAACTTAAATTAGTTAATAAACCCTATTTAAATAAATATTGAAATAGTTTTATATTAAAGAAAGCTTAAACTCGTTACACTTCACTGCGCCTATCCCTATTTATGTCAGTGGGTGTATGTATACAGCACTGCGACTACAGCTAAGTTAGTCTATTTAGGCACGCACTGATTACTCTAAGAAACTTTGAAAAACAAAAGTAATTAGTAAGCTTAACTATAAATAGACAACAATAATATCAATAAACATTGTATTATTAAACATAATAGTTAAAACTAATAGAGTTAATAGCAAAATTAGTAAACATAAAAATAAAATAGGAAGTAAAACGTGTTGGCAACAGAATTTTTTTGTTCTTGTTGACACGCGGAACTATTAAATACAAATATAAAAAATGATTAAAAGAGCAGCCGTGACGCAGAAGTTTGAGCGCTTGTGTTAGAACCAAGAGGTCCAAGGTTCTAAATTTATAATTTCAAAAAAGTAAAGTTTACAAAATATTAAAAATTTACGTTAGTTAGGGATCTTTAATGATCTACAATCTAGCAGTTTAGTTAATCTAGCATTTTTTACTAGTTGTGATAATCATTTAATGACTACAATAACATTTTAATGACTGCAATAACATTTTAATGACTACAATAACATTTTAATGACTGCAATAACATTTTAATGACTAAAATAACATTTTAATGACTACAATAACATTTTAATGACTACAATAACATTTTAATGACTACAATAACATTTTAATGACTGCAATAACATTTTAATGACTACTATAATATTTTACTAGTTGTGATAATCATTTAATGACTACAATAACATTTTAATGACTACGATAACATTTTAATGACTACAATAACATTTTAATGACTACAATAACATTTTAATGACTGCAATAACATTTTAATGACTACAATAACATTTTATTGAATTTCTTGTTATGTACTTAGCTACTCCTCATTTTTTATAATAACTGACGATTTTTTAATGTAAACTTTATGATGGGGCTTGATGATAAGACAATTTATGTCTTCAGCTTGCTCCAGTTCTCTTATTTATTAACACGATTTATTTCTTTGCAAATTTTAATATATGGCAAACTGTTTGCTTAAATAGCAATCATTAAAAATAAATAACTACGATAACATTTTAATGACTGCAATAACATTTTAATGACTGAAATAACATTTTAATGACTACAATAACATTTTAATGACTGCAATAACATTTTAATGACTGCAATAACATTTTAATGACTATAATAAATTAAGGTGATAGAATATGGTCAAATGTTATTGACTTTTTTTTACTAGTCTTTAAAAATTGCGTTAAAGAAAAAATAAAAATCAAACTTTCACATTGGGGCACTAGTTTTGTTTTTACATTAGGATACTAGTTTCGTTTTTACATTATACGGTGGTCCAGAAATGTCACTTTTGAGGCAAAATCATACCTTTGCCGATTTTGAACTTAAAAAAGCTTTTGATGAATTTTCATTATACCTTGGCCAACAATAATTATTATCGCAATGTCGGTTGTCATACCTCTGAAGGACACACCAATTACACGAAACCAAAGACAAATGAAATAACAAATAATAAACATGTGATACGTATTTCATACTTAATTTTTAACTTTCTATTGAATAAAAATTGTCACCAACTATAAATAGTAACCAATACATTTTTGTTTGATTGAATAAATATCATACATATGCAGAACACCATAAACACGGAACGTTATAACTTACATTTAACGTATTTTTTTAAAAAGAAATATTTACGGAAGACCTTTTAAGTAAATATTCTCTAAAGGACAAATACATTTACGACATCTTGGTAGATTGCATAAATTTATTGTTAACTGATGTTACAGGGTTATTCATTCTTATATGCGCGTCTATTCATTTTTATATGCGCCTTTATTCATTCTTATACGCGCATTTATTCATTTTTATATGTGGTTTACAAAAGCAGTTGTAAAAAAGCAATTTGAACCAAAAAAAATCGTTTAATAAAATCATTAAAAAAGCAGTTTATTATTTCAAAGCAAATTTTTCTTATTTTCTGGTAAACGAGTTTAAAAATACTTAAGACGAAGACTTTTTACATTTGATGATGGTTTATTTAATTTAGTATTAGTTCTTAGTTTAATTTTATTACATTGTATTAAATTGTATTATTGTATTCAATTTCTTGATTGATTAAGTTATTTTTTAGCTAATTATTTATTTTTCTAGATTTATTATTTAATTATTTAAAATTATTAATACCAAATTTTTACACTATGGATGGAATAGAAAATAATCGTAAAACAAGGAAAAATGTTACAAAAGAGCAAATTGAAATGCTTAAGCATTTAGTTGAAACAAATCAATCTACAACAAGCATTTCCACTTCTCTTAATTTATCGAAGCGCACAGTTCAAAATCTTGTCGTTAAGTTAAACAGAGGAGAATTCGACGACATGACTGCATTCAAGTCGTCTTCTGATAAAAAACGAGGTGAAAGACCTATAAACGCTCAAATAAAAAATATTATCGAATTATGCGTACAAGAAAACAATCTTTGCACGCAAGAAGCAATAAAAGAAAATCTTTCTGCAACAGGCTTCAACATGTCTCAGCCTACTATTTCAAGAAAACTCAAACGCTCGGATTTATCAAGAAAACATGTTGTGCATGTGCCAGAAGAACGAAATTCAACACGAATTATTAATGCACGTTATGCATTTGCAAGCGAAATTAACGGAATTTCAAATGAAAAACTTATTTATTTGGATGAAACTGAATTTAATGTGCACACTAACAGCACTTATGGTTATTCGCTAAGAGGTACGCCAGCAATTTTACAGTCATCTGCAAATCGTGGCAATAATCTAAGTTTAATTTGTGCTGTTTCAACAATTGGAGTGCTTGCTAATGAAACAAAAACTGGAGGCTGGAATGCAGATTCATTTTGTACTTTCATAACTACAATGATGGCACCAGCGATTAGGAATGCAAATGTGAAAGCGCCGGAGCTTGTTATGGACAATTGTAAATTCCACTGGAGTCTTTCTGTTAGTCAAACACTAGCCTCTCATGGTATAGCTATTATCTGCCAGCTTACACGCCACAGCTTAATCCAATAGAAGAATTTTTTTCTTCTTTAAAACATACTTACAAACATGGAGAAAGGCCTCGAAATACGGATGAGGTAATCAGGAAACTTAAAAATATTATGGATACTACAGAGTTTAATATAGTTCCATTTTAACCATATGCGTAGTTATATAAATCAAGCGCTGGCTCGGCAACCATTTCTTAAATAAATAACAATGAAAACAACCTAATTTATATTTTAAATATGTCTATATAAAAATTTAAAAGCGTATTTATCGTTTATATTAAATTATATTAGAGATTTTATGGGTGGTTGACGCTTATACAAACATAGGGATGTATAATTGATATTAATAATAATTATAAATAAGTAAATTTAAATCGAAATAAATGAATAATTAGATAAATAATAACTTAATCAATCAAGAAATTTAATAATAAAATTACAAAGAACTAATACTAAATTAAATAAACCATCGTCGAATTTAAAAGGTCTTCGTTTTAAGTATTTTTAACCTTGTTTACCTGGAAATAAGAAAAGTTTGTTTTTAAAAAATAAATTGTTTTTTCAAAACAAATTGCTTAAATGATTTTTTTTTGTTCAAATTGCTTTTTTACAATTGCTTTTGTAAAACGCATATAAGAATGAATAAAGGCGCATATAAAAATGAATAAAGGCACATATAAAAATGAATAAATGCGCATATAAAAATAAATAAAGGCGCATATAAAAATGAATAGACGCGCATATAAGTATGAATAACCCTGTAACTGAAGTTTTTAAATCTATAAATGGTTTAAATCCAGATTTTATGTTAGATCTTTTTATCCAAAAATCCCTGCCGTTAAGTCTTCGATGTTGTAAAAAATTAGTACTCCCACCCATAGTCTCTTCATAAAAAGTAACTTATATAGGGCAATCTCGCTATGGAACTCCCTAGACAATGAAGCTATGTCAATAAATTGTCTAAAGATGTTCAAAAAAAGTATTTTAAAATGGAACGGAAAATCTTGTTTTTGTAAAATCTGTCAAAAATAACTTTTTTTATTTTTTATTTTTTACGCCGAAAATAACCAACTTGTTGTATTTATATACATTAATATTATTTACTATGTAACCTATTTTTATTTTATTTTATTTATTTTTTATTCACGATATGTATGTTTCTTTGTTTTGTCTTATACAGTTTAGTGTGTTGATTTTAATTTGTTTTTGTTGATTATAAAACTATTGTAAACAATCAACTGAAAATAAAGTTTTAAATAAATGAAATAAAAATAAACGTGTAGATTAGATAAAAAGTAGGAACAACATATGAGAAACGATTCATGACAATATTTAAAGTAACTTAATAATTTCCATGGTTTTCATTTACGAATTATACGAATATTAATGTATAGAATAAACAAACTCTAAAATACATAAGATGTGACATGTTTTTTGCATTTTTATTTATATATAGATCTATATGTTAAAGTTTAATCCTAAAATACTGATTTCAATAGTTTGACTTCCTGGTCAACTATTAATCAAAATCATCAAGCCACATATTTTATAATTACCTAGACTTAAATATACTGTGCATTTGGGAATACAGCGAGAACATACGACAACAAGAATGCATAATAATAATTTTACACCGAGATTATAAATAAGAATATTTTTTCTTTATTACTTCTATATTTGAAATTTTTTTATTAAACTGAACTATTTCAAAATATATAATTATAAATATTATTTATTTAATATAATTCACTAAAAATATATAATTATAAATGGTTTGAGTTGTTTGCAGATAGACATCTGTTTCATTGCTTTTAAAAAATAGCAATGAAACAGATGTCTATCTGCATTTCTGCCCAAAAAAAATGATTCTTTTGTAAACATACAACTTTTTAAAAATTTCTTCCAAAAAAGTAAATTTATTTTAGGACAATCCCAGTGGGCACCGGACCTTAAAAAGACGTCTTTTGAACGTTCAAAAGACGTCAAAAACGTTAAAAAGACGTCTGAAACGTGTATAAGACGTTTAACAGACGTCTTTTTTACGTCTGTACCCACTGGGATATTATCAATACTGCAATTAATTCTTTCTTTGATTCAGAACATCGCCTCATAGAAGTAATAAAGGGGTCTGATGAGCAAAGCAATCTACACATTACTTCTTCATTTGTCATTTTTCTAGAAAACTTTCTTGTAAAATTTTTTCTAAAATTTTTAACATCTTTGTTCCTATTTTCTTCAGATAAGAGAACGATTGGAACTGGCTTGTATTTTACAACCTGGTGTGAACGGACAATCATCGCGTGCACTCCAGCAGGTATAGGATACCAACTAAAATATCCTTCATTTATCTTAAAAGTAACATAGCAATTTATTTCTTGTTTCTCTGGATCAATTTGACTTTACAAATACAATTTAAAATGAATAGAATTATATATTTCATCAAATAAATGTTAATTATGAAGTAATAAAGACAGATCAGGCTAACTTCACTTTGCAGGCTTTCTTCTTTGCGAATCTAGAGATGACATTTTTGCACGATAAAATCTCAACAATTCCGTTTTCAATTGAAATCACCATAAGTTTAGTAAGGCGTCCCTCAGTCATTTTTGATCACAATTTGGATTTGATGAGAACAAGCTTACGGAAAGAGCGCTATCCTTCAGTCACTAAAACCGCGATTGTATTTAAAATGCGAAGTAAAATGCAGATCGAAGAAAATTTTGACCGTAGACCATTCTGGTAGATTCTGTTGAGCAACTTGATAGAAGAAAGTATTTAAACATCTAGATGATGGATTTCTTCAATTAACTCCTCTTCTTTCACATCATTTACTTAGAGATGAAAAAATGATATTTTATTTTCAAAATTTAATATTCGAAACATTATTATTTTTATCTAAAAACAAATATAAGTATAAAAGAATTAAAAAACTGTTAACAATTTACGTTTTAATTTTACAATACAACACATAAAATAAATATCCAAATTAATTATTCAACCATTAATAAATTTGGAGATTTTGTTGGAGCCACGATAACGTCACTTAACTTTTAGAATAAGAAAAAAATTAAAGAATGCAAATGTTTTAAATTACCTGTCAAATCTGAAATACAATTTTACTTAAGAACAAAACTTTTAATTTATTGTAATATAATTGATAAAAATATTATTATTCACAAAACAGGATTTTTTTTAATTAAGAGATTATACTCTTGCATTATGAATATAAATGTAAGAGTTTAGAATTTCTCTTCCTATATGTCCACCTTTATATTTTATTTATATTCTATTTATCTTTATGTTATGCACTTTTTTGGATAATAAGTGATTTTTTTGGCGCAATAGGAAAAAGTTTCTTTTCCTTAATCAATTAATACTTCAACATCGTTACATATGTAGTTTTTAAGTTCATCCATATGGATGAACTTAAAAATAATGCAAAATGTGAATAAAACCTTTTTTGAATTAATACATCTTGCTGATAGCTATGTACACGCAATCCATATTAAAACCATTTTTCAACAGTAGGTAAACAAATAAAACAATGACAAAAGCAGAACTAAAAAAAAAAAGAAAATCCTTCAACTTTAAGACTAAAATTAAATAGTCACAACAAAAAATTAGGAAAATGTAATTTGTTTAAATAATGTGGTGACTTATTAAAATTATGTAATAATTCTTTACCGAGATAATTTGAAGTAAATTGAATCTTAAAACTATTAAATAATCTTCCTTAAAAACCACTTATAATAATCTCTAGATTATTATAAGATTAAATAATCTAGTTCTTTAAAAACCAACCACTTAAAATAATCTCTTAAAATTAAATATCAATTAATTAGTCGTAAGATCATAAAAAAACTGAAAGTACCTGACAACAGTTTTTATTGATAAATGCATATATAAAAAAAATGTATATAAATCAAAATATCATAAGGTATTAAATCCATAATTAATCATTGAACGATCAATATGTTTAACTAAAAAATATTACTGGCCTAGATAATTCAGTCAATTAAAAACAAACTAACTTATCTTTAAAAACACATCATCACCATGTTCCACAAAATTTAACTTTTAATACAATTTCAAAACGATCATCTTCAAAATGATTGAAATAGTTTATCTTTTATCATTACTTTAGTATCCAAAAAAATGATTGAAGTAAACATAAGATTTATTTATGAATAAACTAGATAGGCAGATCATATGACCACATTAAACTATCATCTAATAAAATAAATAGGTGTAAATCTAAAAACTGTCTATACAGATATATAGAAATTAAAAAAGATTCAAAAGAATTTTACAGCGAGGTTAAAAATTTTAAATAATTTAATGTTAGGCCATGTGTAATAAAGCTACGTTTAAAAAGCTTATCGTCAAAACATGCACAAACGAGCAGAACTAGGTACTTGGCAGTATTATATTTATGAAATTATTAGGAATAATTATCTTAATTAAGAACCCTACAAAATAACTTAAAAAGCGACTAAATAACGATAAAAAAGTAATTTTAGCAGTAGAACCACAGTTTTTCGTTTTCAGTACAAACTCTAACAATCACGGATATGAGACAAAATTTTTCAAACAATTGTTTGAGAGAG